ACTTTAAATTCTATTTTGCAGTCAAGTTGTCTGTTAACAAAACCCTGGTTAACTGATACACAGACTATTATACAGCTTTGTGGGACTCTGAAATGTCTTCTATATTGTTGTGCTGTTATTTCAGGCATATCACGGTTTGTCTTGTCAACGTTACAAATGATAAATTAATAGCTCAATAGACAATTCCTCAATATACTAGTATTCTGTACTCACTGTCCTTGTCAGCTTGCAATTAGCCCTCGGGCATGATCTTGCAATAAAGAACTTCTGTTAATAATCAGACCCCCGTGCATGCCACACGACGACCAGTATCGGTCGGTCATTGGACTAGGTAGGTAGGTAGGCATGCCACACACAACTTCAAGTACATAATACGAAAGATTCACGATTACAATAGAATTAAATCAGGAGAACATTCTTACTAGTCTTACGACTAGTTAGTGGATACGTCAGATGTCTATTTGTCAGTTGTCTGTTGACGGAAAAGGTTAACCTCTACCAGGCACCCAGGATCGCTGGAAAAGTAGTAGAAATTGGCCGAAATAAAGGGATAGTATGCCAGGGGAGTTAGCCGGCCAGAGATCTGTGGGTAGCGAATTGAATCTTCACTCTGGCCGGATCTTCTATGGTATACCATGGGTATACTATCCCTTTATTTCGGCCAATTTCTACTTTTTTTCCAGCGATCCGCGGTGCCTGGTAGAGGCTAGGAAAAGGTTGCCGCCGCGGTTCCTTGTCAACGTTCGTTTCTTTGAAAGTGTGACAAAGAACACAAACAGTTAGTTGTTATGTCTATCCAGGATGTGATGTTGTATACACTCTGGTGGTGTTAAATACCTTTGTCCTTTTCTATTGGCCGGTAAATACTAGTAGTCGATGTTAGTACAATGAACTGAGTTATATTTCACGTCTTTCATGGCATGATATCATGATGTGCCACTGTATAATTTACAGAACAAGGAAGCGAAAATTCGAGGGACATGAATAACTTGCGCTCCCGATCAGGGACTAACGTGTAACATCACAGCCACCCCCTTCCAACCCCCTATCAGCCTGCATCCGCTGGCTTTACACTGATAACTGCGCGATATTATCCAGTTCGGCAGTGTGGATGACCTGTAGTGACCTCGTGTCCAGACCGCTAACACGTTTTGCCAGCGGCCGTGAGACACATCAATGGACCTTTCAGTCAGCGGCGGCGAAAATTGTTCCACAGGCTCTATAACGCGTGTAGATTAGATATATTACAACCTACGAATACAATAAGAGAATACAATAAACTGAGTTATATTTCGCGTCTTTCAGTTACGTTTACCTAGCCACACATTTCCATTACTTAAATGGGACTATGTAAAAGAAAAAAACAACAACATCCTACAACGTCCTAGATTATGTTTTCAGTGGCTCATATATTATATGCGTGTCCGTTTGTGTGTGCGGACATTAATTCGTCGTACGATTTTGATCACTGTGTGTTAAGGTTGATAATGGTACTAGTGCTCTAGATAACTGTGTGCTGTATGTAGGCCTGTCGGACTCGCCTATAACTAACATACGTGTTAGTAAAATGTTGAACTTTAATAACATACGTGTTGTATCTGCAATGGTTTTAGACCCCCTCCCCTTTCTTAAAAAAACGACAAGTTAATTGCACAAGTGCGTCAAAAACAACCTCTAAAATCCTCTGGTATTGACAATATATATATAGCACGTCATTTTTTTGAGGGCATTAACCATAGATTAGCCCATAATTTCTCCGAAAAACTCTCACCGTAGCCGTTTCAACATTGTGCTTTAAAACGTTCTACCCCATCTACAATACTAGCAGTTACTACTAGTGCATGGAAACGACATATAACGTTACATGTATTTGCAATTCCGATTGGGATATCTGTAAAAATAAGTGGCCAATCCAGTGTTGCATAGCCCTCATATTCTATACACCACCTATTTTGACTACCGATGTTAATATACAGTTTAGAAGAGGCGCCGATTTCAAACTGGGCACGTGTTGGGGTGATATACTAGTAGCAATGCCCGAGAGAAATAATGGTCTCGTTACACCGTGATGATACGAATCATACGTAAAGCTAGGTTGTTATGTCGCTAGTCTGTTAACTGGTACCTACATCTTTAATTTCCCATTGATTTTCAATTACTTCTTCATTTTATCACATGGTCGGGACAGAACCATCTGCTTTTAACTTTTGATTCGATTCCAGTCTAAAATGTTTTCCAGCCTAAAACGGGAAAATAGAAGAAGAAAAGGTCACGAAAAACCTGTCAATTTATCTGCATGAAATGCCAATTTCAACGTCCGGCTGCACAGTATATATGGCGCTATTACGACTTAAAAAGCCTCAACATGTTTGTGTTCTCAATATCATGTTCGCATGCATGTTTCAACATTTCACTGTCAGTATAGTAGCAGCACACGTTCAGTAGAAATATCTTGAAACACAACGTTAACGTACTAGTAGTCTATTTTCCAATACAGTCGGCGCTATAATACATGTAATTCAGGGAACATGCTAAGAAAACTATCGTGTACAGCCTTTTTAAATATAACCACGGTGATATAACACAAAACGCTGAAACACATGTTTGTACGCCCCACTCTTTACATAATCGTGAGTAATGTCACATTTCAAACGTATTGTCCACAACCTATGCGTGATCGGTCGGTAAAATCGTTTGTTCCGGTTCAACTGACAAATTGAGCTTGCTCTTTCCTAGCTAACCTAGCTATAGTCAGCAACCAGAGCTTTGAATACATGTATGGACGGTACAGTCGAGTACTAGTGATATTACGACCACTCTACAACTGAATGCTATAATTGTTACAGTAAAACATAATGATTAACCAAGGAGGTAAAAAAATGGATTAACCAAGTGACATTCATTTGTATCTTGTACGCCGTTAGCTTTTGAACTCAGAACACATTATGCCAAATAAATTATATAATACTATTATTTCCGGGTCATCTTGGCTGATTCTAACGTTAGCTTAGACATTTTGATAAGCGTTTGCCAAGCAAATTTCATTGAATGAAGACGTGTTTTTGAACGAAAAGACTGTTCAAAACAAGCCCTATCCACCTATGCGCCAGCCACTACATATGTTTTCCCTTGCACACCATATATGGAAAGTCGGTCACATGGTGAAATTTGAACCGGGTATGACGTACTCCATGACGTCATGGGTTACAAAATACCCCGGATATGTGTACAAATACGCGCGCCGCCGCTCCTGCAGCATGAATGTCAGGATGGCCGAGCGGTCTAAGGCGCTGCGTTCAGGTCGCAGTCTGGTTCTCCAGGCGTGGGTTCGAATCCCACTTCTGACAACAAAATTTTTTTCTCGTCGATTTCTTTTACTAATCATTTCTACAGCAACACCAGCCTATATATTTTGCCTAAAAGTGCAAAACTTATTTTTTTGCTATGTTTGAATCGATACATGAAGCGATTCAGGCCGCAATTACACAAAGAATCTTTCACATGTTCGCCCTATGAAAATGAAAAGAAAACAAGGCAAGCGAAAACGTTACACGGTTTGAAGAAAGAAAAATAGCCTGGATGGTGTAACTCTGATCTAAAATGAAATTACCCCCAAATGCTTACAAACTAGCGTTGGTAAAAGCATGGATGGTAAAAGTACTAGTTTAGTAACAAAGACAAAGGCTCATTTTGTGAAATCCAATCTGCCGTTTAGGTAAAAGTCGCTAGAGGCGCTGCTAGACGGTACCGGCTCCCAGATGACTCTCGAAGTTTAAGTAGATGTTTTTGATTGAATGCTTCTTCAATCAAGGGTTAGTTTTTCATGGGACATCCTGTTTAATGTCCATGATTTTTAAAACCTCATTGGTTGGTCATTTTACTGGCTAACGTTACAAAACAACAGTATGATAACATTTTTATCTGTATTTCACATACTAGTAGTTGATTCAGAACTTTTATCAAGAAAACGAAGACAAATAAACCAGACTCAATTTGATCACTCAATACATGTACCAATATTTATTAGACTACATAAAATAGCTGCACAAAATGTAAAACATGGATACCTTGTACAGTAGTACACATATTAGTGATAAAAAAACCATAGCCATTCCTAAATATGGATGAAAAATTTGCTTTGTACAATTCACAACTCTTTATGCTATGTAGAAAAGGAATCATTTCAAAGCACATCATTATTTGTTGCATACAAAGCCCTACAAGCTGAACGTTGTCTATCATAGTATTTTTTTCACTTTTGGCAAAGAAACTGTAAAAAATCTACCGCCTATCTGCACATATATGCACCTTACTTGTGCCAGTGTTAATATGTAATATTCACATCATATCATGCTAGTGTGTTTAGAACCTTCTGTTTATAAATTGATGACTACAAAGTACAATCGCAACTTTAAACCATTCTCATATTCAAGCCACAGTAGGGACTTTCCTTTCAAAATCCATACCAGAAAAGTACCTGCATGATGTACATTTGGGTATACTGTAGAATTCACAATCTAGGTTGATGTTGGTAAACATGTTGGATTCTTTTTTCTTTTTCTGTGTCGACAAAACATACATTCACTCCATACTTCTTGCTTTGAAGACTTGTCTACCATGTACAATCTGTGCTGGTTAGTTAGGAAGCTAAGGTAACAAATGTTAATGATGTTAATTCCCTTCTTATGCCTCTGTCTGTCCCTTTATTCTTCCAGGCCCCTCCCCCTTAGACGTTACAGGTACTTCTTCATTCAGCCTCCTCAATATTTAGGCTTCAAGTCCCCCAACTTTCCCCCCTTTAGGGCTTCAGTTTCAATGTAAAATGTGATCTCCAGAACTGAAGAAACACTTCCATGACGTTGTGTAAATCTGTGAACAGCCTCAACTTCCCCAAGCCCCTCAAAGCCACTCCCAATTAATGAATTGGGAGTGGGGCTTCAGATTCAATGTAAAATCTGGGCTTTGGATCTGACGAAACATTTCTATGAATGGAATTTCTTCTTCCCCTAGCCCCCTTTAGACTCAACTTCTCCCAGGCCCATTTAAGTTTTACTCTCCCCAGGTCCCTTTCCAGTTAGGCTTCAGGTTCAATGTAAAATGGAGCTTCTTGTGTAAATCTGTTAACAGGCTAAACTTCCGTAGAATGCTCCCCATTTAAGCTTCGCTCTCCCCAGGTCCCTCCTCTAGAATGGGCACGATGAGGTTGTCCTTGGACATCAGGTTGTACTTGGTTACAAACACCGTGAACCGCTTACACAGGCAGGTCTCATTCTGAAACAGAAACAAGGTAAAAATGTCAGTTTTGTACATATGTATATATGGAGACATGTCTCAAGTCGATTAACATGAAAAGACTAATATATGGACTTGGTTGATGGTCAGAGAATGCTCAAGAAAATTGTTACTCAAGCAACTGGATAGATTTTGAAACAATTTTCTTGTGTATCTCATTACCTGGATGTCTAACCTTCATCAACACAAACAGAAAATGCATTTCAGAAAATAGTTTTATCAGGTTCGTAAAGTATAGGATACAGGAGTTTTCTTTTCACAACTAAGCTTGTCTCACCTTGCTTACTATCAGACACCTTCCTCAGAGCTTCTGCCTGGAGCACTGCTTCGTATAGTGGTTAGAAGCAGAACTCCAGCTCTGAGGAAGGTGTCTGATATACACTGAAACGTAAGCATTGTAGGACAAGCTTAGTTGTGTATAAAAGAAAACCCCTATATCTTATATTGTACTGAGTCTCACCTCAAACTCGTCAAATATGTTCCTGTGATGATAGTAGGCGTGTGAGAATATCCTGTAGATTCTGCGGCACACGGAACCCAGCTTAGCTACTGATGACTCCTTTATACTCACTCTGTAACAGAGGAAACTCTGTAAAGTTTGCATGTTTGCTTTGCATCCTTTCTCCAGTTGTAAAGTCACCATGATTGCAGCCTTCTTATGAATACCTTCTTCTGAGTTTATTATAATGGTACAAGCTCCATTGCAGAAGGCATCAGAGGTGCCTTCTTACTAAAATTAGAAAGGTAACATTTGCAAGGCAAATGCATCATGTTTATCTTCACATGGCCCAGCTTAACAAACTACTGATTTGTTTATTCTTACTCAGAAACATTCATATATATGGTGACTATGCAGCCCCACTTGAACTCTGCATGGTACTTGCAACATTATGTAACCCAACACCAGTTACCATGGTGACAGACATCTGGTCCTGAAAAAGAAGAGGAAGAAATTGAGCAAAACAGTATATTTTCCTTCAGTTAACACAATAAGAAGGAACCTACCTGCTGGGGAAGTATTTATTACTGTTGAGTAGTGAGGCTGCACCATCTAGTGTGTGACGGGTGTAGTCTATGGCTGGACACTGGGGGGAAAACAAAGACACAACACAGATGCATGAGCTTTGCAGACTAAACACAGTCAAATACATTGAGCTACAGACTTCAGACTTAACTAGCAATGGTGATCATACTTCTTTCTATGCTGAATATGCTCTATATGAATGGTGAGCATACTTCTTTCAAGATTTCTTGGTAACCTACATCATGTATAATTAAAGCAATCTACTGTGGCTAATGAAACAAATTTTCTAAATTTCTAAAGTGGTGAAACCTAGCTTAGTGTTACTGCAGTAGAGTGTGCCCAAGAACCACAGGACAGAAAAATGGCGAGCTACCATCAAGCCCCAGCATCAGTGTGCAAGTATGTCTAACCCTCGGAACATGGGGAACAACAGACGTTAAACTGGGTAGAGAGAGAGAGAGACATCTTTTTTGAGAAATACTAGTAGTCTGACCTCTTTTGGTGTCTTGTGAGCTGCACAGAGGAAGATCCACTGTTCTGTAGCTGTCATCTGGGTACAGGTCTCAGGGTTACACTCGGTCTGGGGAAACATAACAGTTAGGTTACATACATATTATCATACATTTTATGTTCCATAAATGTCTTTTATCATGTCTTGTAGCAGGGCAAGGCCTTTGTAATAGCCACTGGTTAGTTGGGCTGCCCTGCATGGCTGTGAGGATTGAACAGCCAAACCAATAAATAAATGAATATATGTTGGATCTGAAGAACATACATAAGAGATTTATAAGTAACACTTCTATCATGATCATGAAGATATGAAATACTCAAGCATTTGGATCCCAGTATCAAAGTCCAGCAAAGAAAGACTTAAATTCGTGCATGAAAATGATATTTCTCTTGGCAAAACCAAAGATTAGATTTTCAGGTTTAAAACCTACAACTTCTTTAGCATAGCAAACATTGCTCTTGTTAGCATACATGTAGCTTTAACAAAGTAATAGACATTCAAAACATTATTTTTACATTTTGAATTGCACATTGAATCCCAAACAAACTGACAAAATTACTAGTATTGTTCAAGCACTATCATAGATCAACATAAACTACTGTACCACACCCAGCTTGCATGCGCATGCAGAATAAGCGATAAGCGACTTTCCGTCAACGACTTACATTTACCTGTAACTTGACTGCCAGGCCGTTCAGCTCCAGGCAAAATTGTCTGAAACACAGAAAACATAATCTCATCAACCGTTAGGACACCACGCAAGATCTGACAACCAGTTTTCGCCACCCTTCACAGCTTTCTTTTCCTTTCACTTATTTGCATATCATTCCAAAGTTTCTGGTTATCAACCTGTGGATCTTGATAGTGGATGCTACTTGAAACATCTGATCGTTTCCAAAATCATAATTTCATATCCAGTTGCTTCTTGAATAACTGTTTGGTTGGCTTGGGGGTGATTTTCCTACACTGGCCTTTACCAAGCACACGCAAGCTACTAGTATACTACGGACCTATCTCCAGCTTTTTCCCTGTATCTGCTTGAATTCCTGTATTACCCCGAGTCTTCTATCTTCTATTGCTTGCCGACCCTTGTGAGCAAAAATACCTAAACCGTCTGCAAAAAGCTACCCCTGGCGCAGGGTAATTGGGGCTTGGTTTGATGGCCCAAATTGCTACCAGCGGCGCTGAAGAGCTCACTGTGGTCTGGCTACCAGACTGTTTTTGGCATTACCTGAGATGTTCATACTTCCAGACGCCCTCGTCCTGTCCCTCTGGAGGTTCCAGGATCTTATCGATGTTGTTGTGGTCCTGTCGGATGTTCTGCTGGATAAACTGTTGTACAGCCAGCGTGCTGTCCATTTCCTCAAACGGCTCATACGGCCAGTTATAGAAGTCCTGGGAACATCAAGAAACAAAAACACAACATCAATAGAGTTAAAGTACATGTTGTTCACAGAAGTATTGTTTTGGGTGGCTGAGTTGTGGGTTTGTGTGTCCGTGTTTCTCCATTTCTTCAAACGGCTCATACGTACCGTCAGTTGTAAAAGTCCTGGGGAAAAAAACAAACAGAAAATACTAGTAAACAGAGTAAAAGTTGTTACTTCAGTGTATACAAGTATTGTTTTGGGTGGCTGAGCTGTGGGTTTGTGTGTCTATGTGTCCTGTCGGATGTTCTGCTGGATAAACTGTTGTACAGCCAGCGTGCTGTCCATTTCCTCAAACGGCTCATATGGCCAGTTGTAGAAATCCTAACAGAAAGCAAAAAATACAACATCGATGCATTAAAGTAGTTTCTTCAGGGACCAAAAATTTAGGGTATAAAATTGTTTTGGGTGGCTGAGCTCTGGGTTTGTGTGTCTGTGTTTGTGCATCTCTTCAAAAGGCTCATATGGCCAGTTGTAGAAGTCCTAAGGGCAACAAAAAACACATCACTGAACAGGGCACAGCAGTATTGTTTTGGGTGGCTGAGCTGTGGGTTTGTGTGTCTGTTTGTCCTAATGGATGTTCTGCTGGATAAACTGTTGTACAGCCAGCGTGCTGTCCATTTCTTCAAACGGCTCATACGGCCAGTTGTAAAAGTCCTGACAGAAAACAAAAACATGCAACATCAAGGCATTACTTCCAGGCATAGAAGTATTGTTTTGGGTGACTAGAGCTGTGGGTTTGTGTGTCTGTGTTTCTGCATCTCTTCAAACGGCTCATACGTCCAGTTGTAAAAGTCCTGGAAAGAACAAAAACACATCAACATTACTTCAGGGTATAGAAATATTGTTTTGGGTGGCTGAGCTGTGTGTGTGCGTGTCTGTTTGTCCTATCTGATGTTCTGCTGGATAAACTGTTGTACAGCCAGCGTGCTGTCCATCTCCTCAAATGGCTCATATGGCCAGTTGTAAAAGTCCTGACAGAAAACAAAAAACACAACATCAATGGCGTAAAATTAGTTACTTCTGGTTCAGGGTACAGAAGTATTGTTTTTGGTGCCTGAGTTGTGGGTTTGTGTGTTTGCTTGTCCTAATGGATGTTCTGCTAGATAAACTGTTGTACAGCCTGCGTGCTGTCCATTTCCTCAAACGGCTCATATGGCCAGTTGTAAAAGTCCTGAGAACAACATACACAGTTTTGCCCCATTGGTTGGGCTAAGTTCAGGTCACAACAAAACATGATGAACAGAAACAGATAACACATAGCTACAGATATATGCAGATGAATTTTCTACAGTGCTTAAATGCATGGGTATTATAGGGAAATAGGTTTTGTTGAAAATTGCAAATGATCTATATTCTATACTGTAGTATACACAGTCACTAACTTCATTTCTCTCTTTGCTATACAGTCTACAAATGGCGTCATTTCTTTTTCAGTATAACAAATTGTGTATACCGTCTATACGTGCAGATTCTTGCTGCTTTGTGTCACCATCCCAAAGAACATCTAGTCATGAATAAGTTACCTAACAGTTCAGATATCTAACTTTAGTCCTGATTTGGGAGAATCCAAACCACAAACATTCAGATGACCGTTTTGACAGATCAGTCATGAATATAACGTTACAGTATTATCTTGTGTCTGAAAATCTGAGCTATGGTGTGCCATGTTCGTGGCTTATTTCTGCTCTAACTGTGCGATTTGTACCCACATAGTCTACTCTCTGACTTCCTACTATATCTACAGAAAGCATGAGTTAAGGAAAAGTAGGCAAATTCGTGTTAGAAAGCCTACAAACCTCAAATTCTGATGATTGCTTTGAATCATGTGAATATACAGTATTTCCGTGTGTCTGAAATCTGATGCCCATGTTCATGGGTTATAATTTTCTACTCTAACTGTGCGATTTGTAGTGACATTATCTACTCCTTGAGTTCCTATTATATCTACGGAAAGCGTAACTTAAGGAAAAGCAGCCAAATTCGTGCTAGAAAACCCCCAAACCTGCGCCTTCGTCCCAGGACGATTTCTTCTCAGAATCGCCGGATCTTCAGTTGCGGCCGCCATCTTGGATCTGGGTGGGAGATACCACTGCTAACCCCTCCCCTGGGACGGGGAATGGACGCGCCCAGATCCAACATGGCCGACTTGGAGGAGAAGGCTTACCGAACAGTGGTCGACAGGTACTATACAGCGGGCTACAGAACAGGTGCGACTCCATAATTTCACCTCTACGCAAGGAAAAATACAAACTGCGAACGACCATTGTACTGTGCTGCGGTTTATTCGATTGTGAAGCGCTTTGTTGCTGAGTTTTCGAGGCGGGGTTTTGGTGTAGGCAACGCGGGTCTTTGGCTGTTTGTTCAACGGTTGGTTTTGTTTGTGTGTGCGGCCGGGTACACTGGTGCGCTGGTTCGTTGGAGAGTGCGTACGCTGCCCAGGAGTTGAATACGGGAAAGATAACCCAAGGTGGCGGACTGTGACGGTTATTTTTACCGCATTTCGTGGGAGAATCTCAGTCCACGAGTTAGTAGCTGCATTGCAGCAAGGGAGGCTTTGTTCTAATCCCAGCATTCATAGGGGCTGGCAAGCCACTGCCACTCAGAAAGGGGGTAACATTTAAGGGACCCAAACCCTTACCCCCTTAAGGCCTGCGGACTTAAAAAAAACACCTTGGTGATCGGTCAGTCATCCATTGACTGGAAGACCGCATCTCAGGAAAAAAAAAAAACAAGAATCGTGCAGAATTTTCACGAGAGATAAGGAAGAGACTCTACGAAAAAAAATCACCATGTCGTCTTCGAGTGGTACAGGGAAGAGGAAAGAAATCTACAAGTATGAAGCGCCGTGGACGGTGTACAGTATGAACTGGTCGGTACGGCCAGACAAGCGCTTCCGACTAGCGCTGGGCAGCTTCGTAGAAGAATATAACAACAAAGTACAGGTAAGTATACACATACACATGTATAATATACAGTATATGGCATTGTTGTGTATACAGGTATGATTGTGTACGCATTGGTAAAGTATGTGACTGTAAATTCGCCTTGTTTTCAACTTTTGTAGGGGGGAGGAGACTTTTGCGATGGCCACAAATACTGTAGTACATACACATGTACATGTAGTTCATAACGAAGGATTAATGCTTGCAAAAACCACAAATATAACTATATATAATAATAGGACCACTGCAAATATTTGAAGATTTAAAATTGTCATTTTTAGATTGGTGACCAGCTAAGCATCTTACATGTGATTTGCAATATATACTAGTATGCACATCACATACAATAAGTACATGTAATTCGTAAATACATTATTTTTGTACTACTAGTAACCTAAACCTCAAAATGTATGCTGGATTTACCAGTGTGTATCCTATAAAAATAGGTACTAGTAGTGCATATTAATACTTACTCTGCATTGCATCTATAAAGTACCACATCAGTGATTAGAATAATTGGACAGCAGTTATATCGGCCACTAAAAGCCTGATGATTTAATTATTATTTTAAAAACAGTTGGATCAAACAATTATTAAATAGCAAACTGAGCCATGCAATCCAAACTCTTGGTGGACTACTATTAGATAATTGGAAAATATAGCATTACAATAACAACATGTACATAGACTAGGAGAAAAAAATGCTAAAACAAAACTACTCCGAGTCCAAGCACTATAACCTACATGTTATATACAGCTTCAATAAAACAGGCTGGCCATGCACTCCATACTCTAGATCTTAGTGGACTATTAGTATTAGATGATTAAAGAGTTCAAATGTACGCATGTGTTTAAACAGCAGCATTACAAATGAACATGTAGGAGAAAAAATTGCTAAAAATGAAACTACTCCAACCCCCTAAGTCCAAGCACTATAACCTACATGTTATATACAGCTTCAATAAAACAGGCCAGTCTTTACAAGATGGCACTTAAATCCGCTGGACGGCGCTCAGCCGTATTACGGCTATTTCATGCTCTAGTGGTGCATGGCTGGACACAAATCCTACCTACCTGTAATATGCTGCTTCTATCTCTGCCAACTCATGTTTGGAACAGTGCCTAGATCAGATGTTTCAGAACAGAGCTCTATCTAGCTAGATAAATACATTTTGTACATCTACATGAATGTACAAACATTGTTAGAAGCACCCATCTGCAGTAGCAGTTTGCAGAGACTATTTTAATATCGCAGAAAAAAATCAAGCAACCTGCAATTTGGAAGAATGAAAATCAGGCTAGGGTTCAATGGTGTCAGCATATTGTGTTGTTTAGCTTTAATAGATTCTGTGTTTATTACTGACTCTATAGTACTCAGTAATTGTTCATGTGTTTTTCAAATTGCATGTAAGATGTTTCGCAACATTGGTAGCAATGGTACCAGTGTGCAGGTAGTATTTCAGAATTGCAGAGCAAAATTGTGAAATTCTGCAATATTGCAGACACCGAAAAAACATATTTCTACCACTGATCCATGTACAAAGTACTACAGACCCTCTCAGTAAATGTTCACTGATTTGAACACAAATCCCTGCTCTGTGTCATGGAGAGATTATCTCACAAGCATTTATCATATTAAGTCTTTGTCCATTTGTAGGCATACATGCATTTTAAACAGTGCCATTCAAGCAGAAAGCACCATGTGGTGTAAATTTTGTATGTAAAGCAAATTGGTGTCATTATGTTCATCATTTACCACATTAGTGAGTGCTAAAAGCATCTCTACTCCAACATGACTTGAGACAAAACCAGAGGGAGCTTTTTTGCAATGGTTTTATTTTCTTTCTTTCTTTATTTGCACAAATAAAAACATTGATCAACAAATATACAAAACAAAGAAAAAAACAGTGTACACTGTACAGGAGGAGGAAAGAAGTCTGGAAGGCTTGTACAATGTTGTGTCCTCCTCCTTGAAACTTAGGAAATATACATCATTAAACTAACATGATAAATAAATTTAAAGGAAGATACTGATAGTGATACACTTTTGCAATTTGCTTCAGCAGTTTTTGAAATACTGTACGAAAAATAGTCAAAGAACTTAAATTTATGGCTTCAAAAGTATGATTCTACAAAACCCCTTTCTGTATGTGTATATATGAAAATGGAGGTAATAAATATATAAAGCTGATGGCAACATAAAAAATTTTACTATAAAAATATAATTATATCATATATGATAAATGTTAGGAATAAAACCAGAAAGTATCCACTGATATTTGACAAAGACTTAACTGTCTATGCAGTAAATGATGTCGACTTCACCCATGAATATTCTGAAAAGGCCACCAAAACGCTGCTCTAATCTTATCCCAACATCGCTGATTGCTTAAGTGATCATGTAATCATCGTAATAACAGCTCGCAGTTCAAATATCACCGCTGTTATAACTCCCTCTTGTTCCTAAATTGATTCCACCAAGAGCAATTTGCTCGCTTATAAAATAAAGCGGAGACAACAAATTGCATGTGTTGAGTCGACAATGATGCGACTACGTCCGTCGTTAATGTGATTGTGACATTTCCAAGGGCGTTTGAAGGGCGATTGTAGCACCGCTCGCCAAACTACGACGTGAAAAATTGCTTTCTAACAATTACGCGGTCCGTGTGACAAAACAGTTTTACCCGCTTGCTGGTTTAAACGACAGGGACTTCCTAAAACGATACGAAACTTGCACGGACGGTTTGAAGCGATTTGTGCATGATGGCGAACAGATGAGATCACGACGAACTCAAGTGGATATTTATTCGAGAGAACTTAACTGATTTCTTGTTCATGAAAAATTCAGACCTGCGGATAAGTTAAATGTATTACTCATAAATTTGACAGTATCGGTAGCTTCAGGAGGTAATCAGAAATGGTTTATTTGTGAATTCTGAATACCAAGGCCATACTCAGTACATAATGTTGGCTATTAGGCCACACCAATTTAATTTCTTGGTTAACGGATTCGCCCGCTTCATTTTTTTCTGATTTGCAAATAAAAATAAAAATTCAGAATCAACTGCAAAATGCTCATATTTTTCCCTGAACAGTTGAAAACAGTCCTTTTCTTCGTAGTTGTTACAGTTATTCCATCTTTCAATGCAATGGTATCATTAAAAGTTCAAAATTCATTGTTTAAATTTTGAACCAGCCTGGTGTGTTGACTTCATGGCTCCTATCGTACCATTTTGGGCCATAATACGATGCCTAGGCCTGTTTTTATTTTTTTTTCGCCCGCCCGCTCCATTATTTTTCTAGAAAAATCCGTTAACCAAGAAATTAAATTGGTGTGGCCTTACAATAATTTACTGTAAATTGGTACGGTAATGCTAAGTCTCTTAGGAATTAGTAGTAAAACTGTATATAACATCAGCATGGGTACTTGTATGGTACAGATCAGAGGTTTAGTAGTACCTAATTATTAAAACTAATAAAAGTACAAGATTGACCCATGCTTTGGTATATACTTTATCCACATGATTGTAAATTGTTCGAACAAAATAAAAATAAAAAGTACAAGAGTTTGCAGGACACATATTTTGTAGTCAGGAAAGTTGAAAAAATGCATAGAGTATTTTCTATTTCTATCTCTTTTCAGGATGTATGCAATGTATTTTAATTTGTCTCCTGAATTTAGGTTGTGTCATTAGACGAAGACACGTCAGATTTCGTGGTTCGGTCGACGTTTGACCACCCGTATCCTACCACCAAGATCATGTGGATACCAGATGCAAAGGTTTGTATCACAACTTTACAAGTTCATGTAATATTCTAGTGTTCATTCTATTCTATTCTATTCTATTCTATTCTATTCTATTCTATTCTATTCTATTCTAAATATTCTTTTCTATTCTATTCTATTCTAATATTCTATTCATAGAACATGTACTGAAAATCACTTTATGTTTGCATTAGCAAAATTGTGCTGTCTGAAAAAAATGCACATATTCGCAGAACTATATACATTCACGGTGGTGGTGGCAGGTGCAGAAAAAAGAAAGTCGGCGAATCATTTGTTCACAGTAATGATAACTTCATGGTACAGAAGTGACTGTGAAAACCACAAAGGTAAAAGTACCGCAAAAAAATTGTGATTTACAGTATGTATCTTCATGTAATTATTAATATACAGACTGTAAATTTACATTGTATACCGGTAAAGCTATATCCAATGACAATGCCCCTACTGTACTTGGTGACAGTGAGTTCCACTCTGTGATAGTTCTAGGAAAGAATGAATTTTTGAACACATAAATCCTTGGTTGATAACTCTGGTACTTGAATGCATGGCTATCGCATGTCTTTCTTACAGTTTGTTTGAAGAAGTACAGTGACAAAGAACTAACTAAGCCCCATTTTTCTCAGCCCCTTTACTCCACAACAAAGCTGTGTATTTGCTAAGCCGGAAGTAGCCAGCAAGAGGGCAAAGGTCACGTCTTATGTAGGATTACGATAATCTTCAGTTTTCACTTGACTGGTGCTGATTTAGACATGTTGGACAATTAGAGTTAAGTGCCTTAGGGAAAAACACGCATCTTTTCTGTTATACCTGCCATGTTGCATATTTCACCTAAATTCTTGACGTTTTGTTTGAAATTTTAACTTTGACAAACTGTCAACAAATACTGGAAGTCGTGAAATATTTGCAGTGTTCCTTTTATTTGTGATTTTGCAGTAGGAACTCATCAAACTACTAGTACAAGCCTTACTACTGGTATTGTATCATTTAAACTTTCCAGTTGCTTAGATGAAAACACCCCAAATTCTTACCTTTCCCCTATCGTGAGCTTTTACACCACTTGTTCATTATCTTCAGAACACCAAGCCTGAATTTTGTACACTGCAACTATTCACTGAATGACGCAAAATTGCAAGTTGTCTACATTTTCACCTACGATCTAGACAATCTTTTTATTTAGTACAGGTACTGTGTACTACCACATTGTAGTATTTCAATCACTGGCCTTTGTCAATGCCACTGAGTTCAGTTGTGGACTTAAATCCAAGATCAGTACTACAGTAGGGAAACATTTTTCATGTGATGCACGTAGCGAGACTTCCACATGGGATAACACGAGAGAAAAATGGGCTACCCTGTCCAACCTTAATCCTGTTACCGAGAAGTCTTAAGTACCAAAATCCTTAAATGGCTCCTGAAGTGCCTGCCTTTATCAGGTCCTTAGGTGGGCATTTTTACAGGCATTTGCATGTATGGGGGCCTGCATGCCCTTTTCCGTGGAGCGTAATCGGGCATTTTAATTCTATGTAGAGCGTAGACGGACCGCTCTAATTCAACGTAGAGCGTAATTGGCGCATTTTGCTTAGAGCGTAATTCGAGTTTTAATCCTACGTAATGCGTTGTAGCCACTTGGAATTTATCAGAAAGCGTAATGGCTACTGTAGCGTAATACTTAGCCGGCTCTTAAAATTTAGCGTAGAGCATTGTCAGGACCCCCCATGCAGACCCTCATGTATGCATGGCTCTGTGTGCCTGGCTCCCACTACATCGTAATCCTGTTTATGATAAGAACTAGTACCTAAAGCAAAGAGAGATAGTGGGGCCCTTCACAACACATAAGTTATCAGCAGGGAAGAATTACATGCTTATATACCTGTAGCAAGTTGAACTAAGCTCGTATCGTGTGTTACAAAATAAGCACCAACAATATTCAACAACTGCAAAAGAATCATTGACATTTCAAAATAGTATTCAGACTGACCTATGAATTGAAGTAATGTACGACAATACACTGATTTTAAATGTATTATACATATACACATCTAGAGCTGTGTACCTAAACAAATTTTAGGTACAGGTACAGGTACAGGTACACAGGTTTAGGTACAGGTCCGGACCTGAACCTGTACCTGAACAATTCGACCAATTTTAATATGCTCTTCTGAACTCCTTCAATAACAAAAAAAAAACATAAATAAACTTGATAGTTAAGGTTTATTCTTTGTTTATGGCGAATGCTCAGATAAAATATAGGCTATATATATGTTTTTGTTTTCATGAACACACTGTCCTTACACAGGGACCCATTGTTAACCAGCTATTTACACATTTGAGGTCACAAATAGGCATAAAATTGGTGTGAAATTGTTTAGGTACAGTACCGGTACTGAGGGATTAGGTATTTTGGACCTGTACCTAATCAATTTTACCGGTACAGTATCGGTACTGCGTACCGGTACACAGCTCTATACACATCATATAGAATCAGTGTATACGTACATTACCGGTAAACAATGTCTAGAGTTACACTAATATGAAAACAATATATACAAAACGATAATCTAACATCTAACATCTATTACAAGTGCAGTATCACAATTACATTATTGAATGTAGAAAGTCACACCCTCCCCAATGTTGCCACAAAGCCAAAAATGGAATACACTCAGAGATAGCATAGAATTGACAGAAAATCATTGAATGTAATAAATTGCATAGAAATTGATTGCATAAAAAATGATATTGAATGTAATAAGAATATAACACCCTTCCCGATGTTGCAGCAAAGCCGAAAATGGAAAACACTCTGTGAGAGATAATATCATGAATATTGGAGCCGTACGCTGGGCAATCCATCACAGGATGATGTGTGTGAGTCAGGGAGTAGCTACTCGACCGTGTTACGGGTAGTTTTATGTGCCAGGAGTGCAGGTTACGTGTCTAACACAAATCCCTGTGGCAAGGGTTTTTTTCTCTCTTTGTGCTATGTTGTATTTCAGTTTATTTTTGAGGCAAGCTATAGGCACTGTATATTCTACCAGGTACATGTACATGTTTACTTTTGTGACCCTAACTTGAAGCTGTACACCAAAATTTTGACTGGATGCACAAAAAGACTTGTATATATTGTATACAACTACAATGTATAGTAGGGCACAGTACAAAATTTTTTCTGTGCACCTACAAATGTAAATTTACATGAAGGTTCTCTAGCGCAGCAGCTAGTATTCCCTTGTAAACTGCATTTGGAGCTGTGTATAATATCAGTCCATTATGATTGAGTAGAGAAAGCTTTATCCACTCACACAGGCCTGTTCCGCACCTCTAGGTCAAGATAGAGCCCAAATCCTGGGTGTAATGGTTACATTCTGTTCTCATAATGTATCATGTTTGCATGCTACTGCTGTGAAGTTTGATAGGGTGGCTCTCCAACAAACAGTGGATATCTCTTAGGCATATGAAAAAAAATGTCGTGTTCCTGTTTCAGAAAATAATTATTAGGGTCGGTAGATAGGGATTTTCTTCTCTTTTTTTTTTAGACCTTAGGGGTCTCTAGTGATCCTGAACTTATACAATACTGTATATACAATTTAACATTTTTTTTTAAGTTGAGATCATGAGAACACTTACATTTTCAATGTCAATGTTGGAGAACCACACCTCCAGGTCAAGATAGAGCCGGAATCCTCGGTGTAATGGTTACATTCTGTTCTCCATGTATCATGTTAGTTTGCATGGTGCAGCCGGGAGGTCTGGCTGATGGGTAGGATATAATGTAAGCTGAGTACAACAAACAGAAGATATCTCTCAGGCCTGCGAAAAAATGTTCAGTTTACTGTTCCAGTATGATGTAAAAACAAAAAAAATTAGAAAACCTTGTTTCTTAGAGCCCAAATCCTGGGTGTAATGGTTACATTCTGTTCTCCATGTATCATGGTAGTTTGCATGGTGCAACCGTGAGGTTTGGGTGATGGGTAGGATATAATGTAAGCTGAGTATAACAAAACAGGAGATATCTCTCAGAATGTTGTATTCAGTGCTCTATCCAGCACCCATTTTTCCATCAATTTTAGGAACTTTGTGACGTGACAGAATTTTTTCAAGCCAATTCGTCAAATTTGATGGACAAAAGTGACAAACATCTTGCGAATAGGTACACTGGTGTACCCAAACTTAGAAATTGGATGCACAAAAAATTTTTGAAAATTAACAATGATTTTATTATTTTTATGACAGATGTTAAGATTATGCTGGCAGGCACAGTGTATAGTACTATACATTTAACATCTTTGCATAATATTATGTAAACCTAAAATATTTGGGTGCACTGGTGCGCCCACAAAAATAATTGGGTGCACAGCTCCAAATTTGGGTGCACTAAGGTGCACATGCACCCAGTATTTTGAGCCCTGCTCTTTAGTTTAGTTGCCAAAAGGTGTAAGTCTTTCCATTTTAGCACATCAGAAGATCGATTCTACAGCCACCGAGGTTGAAAAGAGAAGAGTGGGTTTTTGATGCCCTTATTTCAGGGTGAACAGAGTTTAATGGGGGTCTTCCCAAAGTCAGAACTTCAAGTTCAACTCCTGTAATGGTTTAGCGATCACCACCATTTGGCGCATTAGCCAGTTGAGGAGGTGCCTAACTTTGCATAGCCAAGGCAGATGTCCATATGATAATATGATACAGTAAACTGAGTGTGTCAAGAGAAGAAAAACTGCACCTGGGTATTTGCCCAGCCAGCTTGGGCAACAAATTTTTGTATTTTGCTTGTGTTGATGAAAAAAACAGGTTGCCTTGTATATTTACGTCGATGAAGGTTAGACATCCAGGTAATACGATAGCCAAAAAACAGTTACTCAAGCAACTGGATATGATTTGCCTTGTATATTTGTATCAATATAGCTGGAGTGAGCAACCCAGCTATGTTTTGATTTTTAGACCAAAATTCAACAAAAAAAAATTTCAAAAGAATAACAGCTGGGCATTTTTCCAGACAATTTGGGCAACCAAATTTTGACTGTGGCCACCAGTTTATGAAAAGAAAATTTTGTTGCCTTGTGGGTAAGTTTCCTTTCCAAATTTTTAGCAGAAATTATTTTAAAACCTTTTCAAAATGATACAGTTATAGGAAATGTTTGTACATGTATTTAAAAACAAAACATGATGAAACTAGAGTTCCACGATCTCATACCTTCGCCAAATGATGTTAGCCTTTATGAATAAGAAATATACTAATCACCCTGATTATGCAAATAGGATCCTCAATTGCATGAATTATATCAGTCTGTTGATCATATTCTCCATCAAAAGACAGTCTAATCTTAAAGAATGCCATTTTCTCATAAATTATGCAAATGTGGTCCTTATTTGAATAAGTTATGTTTATATATGTTCACCTTTACTTAATTCTCAAACACCCCAAGTATGAAATTCCAGGCAGTTACCACTACGCAATTATAACATTTTCTCATTAATTATGCAAATTAAGTCTTCATTTGCATAATCAATATTTGCCTGTGTTTCTCTCGTTCTTAATAACATATGTTACAAGCTTGAACTTCCTATCATGGAATGCAGCTGATTTATAGAATTTCCTCATTAATTATGCAAATTACATCAATATTCGCATAATTGTAATATCATTATGTCAAGCATCACTTCAGCTACCTACATACCAAAAATCACGATGATCCATCAATCGGTTCTTGAGTTATCCTCTTTTAAACATTTGTCCTTTAAACCCCCCTGCAGTTCTAGAGCAAGCCGCTAGGGGGCCTAAACTCACGTCACTTCTTTCCCAGCACAAGAGCTACCTACCATCCAAATTTCATCACCATAGCATGTCTGGATCTTGAGATATCAAAACCGGAAGTTCAGCTGCAGTACCATAACAAGCCGCTAGGGGGTCCAAAATCTAATCATTTTGAGGTCTCATCAAGACCTACCCATCTACCAAGTATCAAGACAATCCATCAAGGCCTTCTCAAGTTATCGTGTTTACAGACAGACACACACACACACACACACACACATACACGAACGCCCCTGAAAACATAACCTTCTTGGCGAAGGTAATAAGAACATTTAAGATCAATTGTTTGGTGTACTAGTAATTTAGCCAGCTGCTGCCGCGCCGCGTGCCTGCAAAGCTAGACAAGGTGTGTTACGCCGAAGGGCGGATATACCGGCTATACAGATACAGAAGCTGGTGTGTTACGCCGAAGGGCGGTTATACCAGCTATACAGATACAGAAGCTGGTGTGTTACGCCGAAGGGCGGTTATACCAGCTATACAGATACAGAAGCTGGTGTGTTACGCCGAAGGGCGGTTATACCAGCTATACAGATACAGAAGCTGGTGTGTTACGCCGAAGGGCGGTTATACCAGCTATACAGATACAGATATAGATATGAATTGGAAATGTCCAATCTGTCTACCACTTAAGTTACAAACATTGCCAGTAATTGCTTTCATGTTTGCATGTTGGACTAGGAAAGGTTTGTTGCTAGTTTGTTCAGGTATTTCTGACTCCACTGCTAACAAAGGCAGGAATGCCATTAACAGTACCATTGTAAACTGTCTGTAAGCTATACTAAGTGAGTAGGAGGTCAGGTTTTTTGGGTGTTGAAACTACCAAATTTTCTAACCTTTTTCGTCTTTTAAAAATGGCTATGAGTGATATTTAGCATAATTTAGCAAACTTTACAGTTTACACCGATAATGTTTATTTAGAACACAACGTAAAAAGCATTCATTAAAAACTTACATGTACAATGTAGATATTTTTTTATTGCAGAAAAAACATGTATCTAGTCTAGTAATACATGTACTAAACTACATGTACAGTATCTGATGGAGTTCTTTTAAACATAAACAATCTAAATCTTTTGAAATATTCAAACTATGACAAGCATGATCAAAGCACACTGCTTACTAAGTCATATGTGTCTACTGTATGCTACCAGTATCTATAATTTGGACACAATTTGTTGCAATTGTAGAACCTAATTTTGACACAGAACAGGCTCTATTTGTAGAATACCTTTTCCACCCAGGGTCACGGTTAATTAAATACCAAAGTACAAAAGTATCGAGCGCACATTTCTGACCCTTTATTGATTTTTGGCCCGACCTGGTAACTCAATTTTCCAAACAGTCAAATGTCAATTACGGCCCTAATGGAGCATCAAAATACATGGGAATAGAAGTACAAGTAATGTTACTGTCTTTTTTGTTTGTATTGGGCAATTTGCTTGATATACCAGTGTTCATAATTTGCTTGTGAAAACTGTGAAAGAAATATATTTATACAAATTTTGGTATTTTTGACAAATGCGTGTATAATCTTTTGATTTTTACTGTTGGCCTAAACAGGTAAGAATACAGTCATGTAATAATGTAATACCACTATCAGTCAGATACTGTATTTCTTTTATAGCCTCCTAGATCGTAAAATAAATGCAGTTAGTTTGGACCAAATTTAGCTGTGATAATCTGTGTTACAGAACAACAAAGAATGTACTTACTAATACGGGTAAGGCCACACCAATTTAATTTCTTGGTTAACGGATAAGTTGGTACCCATTTTGTTACAGAAACTGGCAGCTAGGAAAACAAAAAAAATTTAGCCTCCAAACATCTGCTTGGAGATAAGTCGTCAGACACACACACACAGTCCATTCTGACTAAATGTTTAACCTGTGTGTTCCCAAGGGTGTGTTCCCAGACCTGGTGGCCACGTCGGGAGACTACCTGCGGCTGCGGGTATGGAGGGTTAAATCCTGTATGTCATGGACGCCAAGCCTAGTATACTTATCTTAGCTGACTTTTTTAACCTGTGTGTTCCCAAGGGTGTGTTCCCAGACCTGGTGGCTACATCAGGAGACTACCTGCGGGTGTGGAGGGTTAATGAGAATGACACACGACTGGAGTGCCTCCTGAACAACAACAAGAACTCTGACTTCTGCGCACCGCTAACGTCATTCGACTGGAACGAGGTCTGTTACGCCAGAAATTTCAGGACAACAAAAACAAACATACGCCCAAGAAGAATGTCTTGTTGGACTTTCAAAAATTTGGTCTTCATGTATTTGCATAATCTATCACTAGTTCGTACTTATAAACATGCTTTTCCAACAATTCTCTGGAAGGTAGTGGATGCTCCCTGAAACATCCTATCCAGTTGCTTGAGTAACTGACTTTTGGCGTATCTTATTTCCTGGATGTCTAATCTTCACCGATGCATCCATTTTGTACTTTGATCTGTCAAGTATTTGTGTCTCTTTTAAAAATCTCCATCAAGAATAGCTTAGTTTGTGGACAAATATGTATGAAGCTAAAATGGAGAAAGAACTACATGTATATCTTGTTTCTGTATTTTACCAGGTTGACCCGAACCTTCTGGGCACGAGTTCCATCGACACCACCTGCACCATCTGGGGCCTGGAGACTGGGCAGGTGCTGGGGAGGGTCAATCTGGTTTCTGGGCACGTCAAGACGCAACTCATCGCACATGACAAGGAGGTATGGCCTGGGCCTAGGAAGAGAAATGTTGTGTTTCCTGTTTCCTGACAGACCCTAGAAAAACCTTCCCACCTTAGCCATTTTTTTGAGTGGACCTGTTTCAGTCCTAAAACAAGAGCTATCCACCATGCAAAATTCGTGACCGTAGTAAGTCCAGATCATGAGATATCAAAACTGCAAGTTCCGCTGCAGTACCATAACAAGCCACTAGGGGGTCCAAAATCTAATCATCAAGACCTACCCACCTACCAAATATCAAGACAATCCATCTAAGCCTTCGCAAGTTAACGTGTTTACAGACAGACACACACACACAAATGCCACTGAAAACATAACTTTCTTCGCGAAGGTGAAAAATGTATGTCCCTTGCAGGGGTCGACGCACAAAAAAAATCTAGGGTCGGTCAGGAAACACAACATTTCTTTTTTCCAGGCCTTAAGGCACTTCAGGGGGTCCCTGGAGTGGATCTGTGCAGCCATTAGCCTCCTGAACACTTTGTAGTGGGAGAAGATGGGAGATAGAGCGACTGTTGTGATCTTAGACTGTGGATAATGTGGGCTTCAGAGTCATGTAGTAGTATAGAGCTAAGATACATTATCTGGTTTCCAAAAATACACTGTGTAGTATTCTGTATTCTGTGTAGTATGCAGGGCTCAAAATACTGGGTGCTTATGCACCTTAGTGCAGATAGAATTAAGGCCGTGTATGTATCCCTGCACTGGTCCATGTACTGGGTATATATGTACATGTAGGTGTATGTGGATTTTTATTTTCAGCATTGACCCATGAAGACTAAAAGAAATAATGGTGATAGTTTTTGAACCGTGAGTTTTTACTTTACTATGATCCAAACTTCCTATAGTCTGAGTGGTGCAGGTAAACATGTAGGATTTTTATTTGCTGCATTGGCTGTTACCACCTATGAAGACTAGTACATGTATAAAAGAAATGACGTCACAACTTACCTGAACAGATTTTAGTATGATGCATACTTCTTAAAGTCTGAGTGGTGCAGGTAAAATTTGTCTGGTGCAATGTTACCTGCACCTGTGCTGCTACTACTGTCAGTCAAAAGACTATGACGAAGTCTTTAACTGCACAAACTAAACAAACAGGATGACCCAGTTCTCAACATATAAAATAATGTCCAAAGTCTTTTTGCTGCATACAAAACTGTACCTGCACCAGTGCAGGATTTTGGGCCCTGATTATGCATCATCTACCCTTCTCATCCCCCTGTCTTGCCTTTCCTGTAGGTGTACGATATCGCGTTCAGTCGAGCGGGTGGCGGCAGGGACATGTTCGCCTCCGTGGGGGCTGACGGTTCAGTCCGCATGTTTGACCTTCGACATCTGGAACATTCCACCATCATCTACGAAGGTCAGTCCAATGTCAATTACCTATCTAGTCGTCTGGCCATATAGACAGTTCATTTATTGTATTTTATAACTTAGTTTATTGACTATAGACGAGATAGGAATCTCTCTTTAGTTACATTTTGTAATGAGGAAAATTTCCTAGTTTATGTCCTTTATAATTTGTTCATTTGCACAAATGTATTTTTGATAAGAAGAAAGGAAGGAGTACAGTTGCCAGTTTCGAAGTCCATTTGTCCATCTTCCTATCTGCACACATGCAAATCGTAATCAAATGTCGTGCAAAATGTGTATAGATTTTCATTTGGTTGTGCATTATAGACTGCCACATGCACAGCTTTTACATGGCTTTCAATTGCGATTTAAATGTGATTTACACGACTTTTGCACAAGAAATAAAGAAGATGTGTAGAATGCGTGGGAAGGAAAGTTAATTGAGATCTGTACTATAGTAATGAAGCACGTTAACAGATGAAGAATCTGAAGCACACCCCTCATTCCCTGTTCCATATTCCAGACCCCGCCCACCACCCCCTTCTGCGGCTCTGCTGGAACAAACAGGACCCAAACTACCTGGCAACGATGGCCATGGACAGTCTGGAGGTCATTATACTGGACGTACGCGTGCCATGCACACCTGTCGCAAGGTAAGTACAATGTATCCATCATTGTGGACAGTTTATCATCATTATACATTCTCCTAAAATGTCCAAAGATTTTTTTTTCACTTTGATGAACAGATGGATGCCAGCTAGAACATTGGACTGGATTGCTACTTACTACTTCTACTACATGTACAATTTAATGTTTGTTAGCTGTTGTGTTATGCCGAAGGGCGGTTATACCGGCTATACAGATACAGAAGCTGGTGTGTTACGCCGAAGGGCGGTCATACCGGCTATACAGGTACAGAAGCTGGTGTGTTACGCCGAAGGGCCGTTATACCGGCTATACAGATACAGAAGCTGGTGTGTTATGCCGAAGGGCGGTTATACCGGCTATACAGATACAGAAGCTGGTGTGTTACGCCGAAGGGCGGTTATACCGGCTATACAGATACAGATACATACATGTATAGGGGTAGGGTCATATACATGTACAGTGTTTACGATAAACCTATTGTTTTGTGTTTTCTGTAGGCTAAACAACCACCGTGCCTGTGTGAACGGCATGGCCTGGGCGCCGCACTCCTCCTGCCACATCTGCACGTCGGCAGACGACCACCAGGCCCTGATCTGGGACATACAGCAGATTCTCCTCAAATGTCCTAAAAAGATTTTTTTTTTCACTTTGATGCACAGATGGACGCTTGCAGGCTAGAACATCGGACTGGATTGCTATACAGATACAGAAGCTGGTGTGTTACACCGAAGGGTGGTTATACCAGCTATACAGATACAGAAGCTGGTGTGTTACGTCGAAGGGTTATACAGATACAAATACAGATACGTGTTCTCTATTCCCTCTAGGCTAAACAACCACCGTGCCTGTGTGAACGGCATGGCCTGGGCGCCGCACTCCTCCTGCCACATCTGCAGCTGTATTTAATGCTGATTGTTGACTGTTTTGTTTGTTTGTTTGTTTGTTTATTTGCAGGCTAAACAACCACCGTGCCTGTGTGAACGGCATGGCCTGGGCGCCTCACTCCTCCTGCCACATCTGCACGTCGGCAGACGACCACCAGGCCCTGATCTGGGACATACAGCAGATGCCTCGCGTCATCGAAGATCCGATTCTCGCGTACACGTCCGACGGCGAGATTAACCAGATCCAGTGGGCGTCCACGCAGCCTGACTGGATCGCGATCTGCTATAATAACTGCCTTGAAATCCTTAGGGTGTAGGCTACGGGAATTGTCGGGTATCGTTTTTTATTTCGTGCCGCCTCCTCCTCACGGGTTTCTTCCGAGCTTTTTTGTGCCCGCCGAATTCTATTTCTGGCAGCCATGTTGTTTTTTTCTCCAGTGGGACCTTTGACCTCAATTTGCATAGTAGAGAGTATTATGGTATGCCAAAAACAGTTACTCAAGCAACTGGATGTGATTTTGGAAACAGTCAGACCAAGTTGCTTGAGTGACTGTTTCCAAAATCACATCACATGGTATATCTTATTACCTGGATGTCTAACTTTCACCGACGTATTATGGTGTGGTTTGTTGTAGTGTTTCTGAGGAACTTTTGTGAGAAAAAGGCATGGAAAAGCTTTGAAATCATCAGCTAAAAAAAATTGGGACCATTGTAAAGAATGGACGAAAGGAAGAAAAGGGTTTCGAAATTCTAGTAAATGAAAAAGAAATGTCAGACATTCGAAGAGAAAAGAGAAACGGAATTTAGCACTGAAAAGTTTTGCACTTAGTAGTAATTAGTCTTTAGTTATCATATTTTTGGGTAAAGTAGGTAGGAAAAAAAGAATAAATTCATTGCCTATTGAGTTCAGAGGTTGTGCAGTAGAAACCCACATGGTGACAGAACTCGGTGTTGGTACATGAAAGCTTGGTCCCGTGGTAGGAGGATGGATACAGAGGGTGCACTAGGGAAGGTAGGGCGGGGCTTCATCTCTCTTAGAACTGCTGACTAAGTAAAAAAAACAACATAACAACTACCAAACGGTCAGATGTTTCAGGAAGCATCCACTACCTTTTGTCAGTGTCACTGACGAAAGGTAGTGGATGCTAGCTGAAATGTCTGACCTTTCTAAAATCATATCCAGTTGCTTGAGTAACTGTTTTTTTGGCGTATCTTATTACCTGGATATCTAACCTTCATTAACACAACAACCAAATTTTGGCAATGCCTAAGGGCTTTAATTAGCCTTCTTATAGTTGTGTTTGGGACTTTCATCTCTTTTGAAGGGCTGGTCAGGATAAAAAAATGACAAAAAATGTTATTACACGGGAAATAGTATCAAAGTGAGGAAAGAAGTATTCTTGACTTCCCTTTCTGAGATTTTGAAATGGAAATTAGACATAAGTGCAGTTCAGAAGGAGTTTTGAAGCCCCAGTTTTTCCCAGCCTTCCTTTCTGTACCCTTTTATACAAAGTACAGTGTGAAGAACTTTGGTACTGTTGGTTTCAGGCTAAATCCATTCAATACAATTATAAATGCTTCTGAGAGTTATTTCTTTCTGCATAGTCGTGTGTAGAAAGTACATACACATGCCTAGAAAAGTTTGCTTCAAGGAAAGACTTTAAATTATGAATACTTTGCATAGCTTTTTGTAAAGATTTGTCTTGGCTTGTATCTTTTTGGAGTGTTTGTTTTCGCAAAATGTAGTCAAAACCACACAAAAATAGATAAAACAACACTTGGTTGCAGTGAGAATATATCTTTGGATTTAGACAGATAAATTCTTAGCTATTTTTTGCATGGATTTTGCCAGTGATTTAGTAGCAGTTTACTTTAATTTGTGGAATGTAGGATATATTTTGAATCTTTAACCATTGAAGGTAGACATTTGGCACCAAATTTGTATTAGTTATGAAAGTTAGGAAGCAAGGAGGAGTTTAACTTGTTCTACATGATTTCAAACTTTTCACTAGCTTGTAAATTTGACACAGGATTCTACTAAAGTCACCAAAGTGCACCTATTACAATTTGAAACACTCTGAAATGTAGAATAATTTCTGTTGAATCATAAACATCAAATTTTCCTCATGTGAACGTGAGTTAATATGTTGGCCAGTTTGTTAGACGTGTGCTGGACATATGTAAAATATGCATGTAAAAAAGGACATGTACATGTATCTGGACTGGCTTATATTCTAATTCTGAAAGCTGGTAGGTAAAATTCTTTTGTGTCAAGACAACTTTCTCAAAAAACAAACAACCTTAATATTTACCATTGCTTTTTCACATTTCTTTAATACACAACAGATAGGCCAAAGGTAGGACTAACTAACGTCTGACAACTCTACAGTACAAAATTTTCATCTTTCTCCAAAAAAACAAAATGAAAAATATAAATTTACACTACCTCAGGCAGTTTCCAGAGTGGAGAATTGCAAAAATCTGAAACTGGTAGGTCACCAAAGTTACGTTAGCGCTGGACTTTGTTGTTTCCATGGTTACGACCGATTCCCTTCGGATTTCACCCCAAGGTTCTCAGGGCTGCTCTAGACAGGAAGTGCGATGCATTGTGGGATGTGTTCTGCAGGAAACAGCCTGCAGGTTACCATGGAAACTGCCTGCAGGTCGTCATGGAAACATCCTGCTGGTTACTAAGGAAACTGCCTGCAAGTTACTATGGAAACTGTAGATCACCATGGAAACTGCAGGTTACCATGGAAACTGTAGGTCACCATGGAAACTGCAGGTTACCATGGAAACTGTAGGTCACCATGGAAACTGCAGGTTACCATGGAAACTAGGTCACCATGGAAACTGCAGGTTACCATGGAAACTGCATGTCGTCATGGAAACTACCCGTAGGTTACCATGGAAACTGCAGGTTACCATGGAAACTGCCTGTGGATATAGGCATATGTAAGAGACAGTAGATAGGAGTGTGTTTACATCAGTGTACATTTTTGTGTGAACAGTTTACGTTTCAAGAACTGTGTTAGGATATTCTTGTTAAGGTTTTGTTACATTTTGGGAAACTGCAATTGTTTTGCTGCCCCATGGAGCCAGTATGTCTGAAGTAGGATAGATACTTGTTGATCCAACATGGAACATGTGGATAAACTGGATCTGTTGTTTAGCAAACTTACCTGCCCTACACATGTATAAGGACTCTACAGAGTCTTCAGCTATAAGAAAAATTTCCCAACAAGTGTACTGAAAACTTTCTGACTGAAAACTCATATTTTTGAACGTATAATATCTGATCAGTTGATTTGATATCTGTATTACTTGGAATTCGTAACAATGATTGTTAGCATAAAGTTAATTTTCAATTGGTGATTAACATTTTTGTAAAAGTAAACGCACAATTTTCTTTCATGATTATAGGGGGACCTACGAATGTACTAGTATATGGGACCAAAACTCTACTGGTATGGAATTCTCTGATGTTCGGCACATATGCCAGAACTATTGTTAACTTCCCCTATCCTAATATTTCTGTATATTCAGAAGTAAGACAGCTTTCAAACTGATAATATTGTTTATCTGCTTGAAAAAAAAAAGGAAAACATACAACAAAATAGGAACTTTTGATGGATTTTCTTTTATAAGTAGGGTCCAATTTTCTTTGGTCCCATTTTGTTTGACCGAATTCTCTTTGCACATGTAAATGTGTATGAAAATTAGAAACATAATATCACAGACATACATGTAATATTTCCGTGTTCAACAGCTGAATAAGTTTAGTTAGAGCTTGTCTAGGACCATACAGTGCAGCTGTGAAGCTCTAGAAAAGCCAATTTTTTCATGGAATTCTGTTTTCTGGAGTTTTGAGTTTCATAGAATTCTGTTTTCTGAAGTTTTGAGTCTGTACATTTGTAGTCTACAATATCAGTCAGTTGATGTACACTTCTCGTGTTGTTTATATTCTCAGATAGGAGTGTTCTTATGTAGCCTGGAATCCATCGTGTTATGGGTCCAGTTTGCTTCTCTGATGTCTTCCTCACTTAATACACAGTAGGCACCTGATTGGTTGAAGAGTCACCGCAAATGAAAGGTAGCACTCTGATTGGCTCTGTTTGACATTTGAATTTTCATCTCAAATGAAAAGGAGGACTCTGATTGGCTCTGACATTTGAATATTCACCTGGAATGAAAGGCAGGGCGCTGATTGGCTCTCTGTTGGACATTTGAATATTCACCTGAAATTGGAGCTCTGATTGGCTGTTTGATATTTGAATATTTACCTGGAATGCAGTGGAAGGTACTGATTGGCTCAGAGTTGCACAGTCCTTTGCAAGAACAATGTAACAGGCTTTGAGCAGACATTCGAAAGTTCGATCCCTGTTACAATGAACACTGCTTTTGACAAATATTCAACATCGGAAAGAATTCATGATGTATTAAAAGTCTGAATGTATAATAGGAGTTGTGCCAGCGATCAGAGAAGCGGCCTGGAGCTAGACTAGGAAGGATTCCAGGCTAGTTTTTGCGAGCATGTCGGCAGAACGTACTGCGCCTGCGCAGAATCCCGATTTTTCATGGTTTTCGTTGGATTTTTGGTCAACGTTGCATCAGAATTTTGCCTGTTGCAGAGGATATCTTTTCCGACATAACATTTGAAAACTGTCAGAATGCTAACCTTATATGAGCAAATACAACCTTATATGAGACAGTCTGCCGAAGTGCTACGTACAATACATTACGGATTTTGCGCAGGTGCAGTACGTTCTGCCAACGTGCTAGTTTTTGTGGCTGCAAACAAACATGATGATGATGTATTTGTACAAATCACTTCTCTACATGGAGTCAGTCATTTTGAGGATGTGCCGTTTGAAAAAAAGTGTGTTGTTGATACATTAATAGTGGTTATTTGTGAAGTGTGTTGATACAATAAACCTGTTTGTACACTCTTTAACTTCTTGTATATTGTCTGTTTATTGGTTTAGAGAGCATTATATAGTAGAGTGGATTCATTCCTCAAGCTAACCGTCATCTCGCACACGCAGTCGTCCCTCAGTAAGACAACTGCAGCCACATAGTGCCCATTTAAAACTTTTATTCAGCCTGTCATACAATATTGGTATAGAGCATGTTAGAGATGACAGCAATTTACACCTAAAACAAATTTTCTTATATACTGTTATAGTGTACATATTTTTATTAAACCATTGACAAGTTATAGCTGGACTGTAGCCTAACTTTAAACTTCAGTTCGTGAAACTTTGGTGTAGCCATTTTATCATATTGCTAGATGAAATTAGAACTTTTTGTTTACTAACATGATGAGAGGGAAGTATTAGGAACCTTATATATAAGCTGATGTATATGATGAACCTTATATATAAGCTGTTATACCGGCTATACAGATACAGATGTTGGAAAACCTTTTGACAACATGTTGTAGATTACAATGGAAACTTTTTCTTATTTGTATCCTCAGATGTGCAAGGAAGATATCGAGAGGACCTGTGTATATTGCAGCATTCCAACAAGTAAGGATATACTTTTCATACTATTACTAGAGGTATCGCAATAGCCTGGTGCTATGTGTGGTAATACCTTTTGTAACATCTAGGGGGCGCTGTGGTACAAATTCCATCTTAGTTTTTTTTTTTCACTCCTGAAACCTGAATATAGTTTGGTCTAGAATCCAAGCAATGTCATTTTGAACCCAGGTAGGCTTATAGTGCAAAAAAATGTGTAAAACAACTATGTTTAGAATAGTGAATATTTAACATAAGGCCACACCAATTTAATTTCTTGGTTAACAGATTTTTCTAGAAAAATAGTGGAGCGGGCGGGCGAAAAAAAAACAACAGGTATCCTATTATGGCCCAAAATGGTATGATAGGAGCCATGAAGTCAACACACCAGGCTAGTTCAAAAAGTAACCAATGAATTTTGAACTTTTAATGATAACATTGCATTGAAAGATGGAATAACTGTAACAACTAGGATGAAAAGGACTGTTTTCAACTGTTCAGGGCAAAATATGAGCATTTTGCAGTTGATTCTGAATCTTTATTTTTATTTGCAAATCAGAAAAAAATTAAGTGGGCGAATCCGTTAACTGAAAAATTAAATTGGTGTGGCCTAATATTGCTTTAACTTGTCTGTAGAGTCTGCATTGTGACACTGGCGGCATCACATCCCCTAGTGGCTGATGGGAAGTCTGTGGCCAGGGTCGACTTCCAGGTCACGGAAAAGGTCAACCGGCTGGACAACAAGGTCATCGGCAAGGGCAAAAGGGTAGGGAGGTCAATATAGAATATCAACTAATATAATCATGATATTAACAGAAATTACACATACATGTTTCATGCTTTCATTTCAATCTATTCTCTACCAGGCTTCAGAAGCAGCTCGAAAGGGTAGAAATTGACCTAAGAGACAGATAATATGCCAGGTGCTGCAAATGTATGACCTCGGCGGCCTACATTGTAACTCCGCTCGAATGTTATCTGTGTATTTGGCCAATTTCTAGTCTGTCCAGCCATTTCCGAAGCCTGGTAATAATCATAGAAATTAACATCAGTAAATATAGGCCAGCATTGAAGTCTAAACTCAGAGATATTTTACATTCTTTTCATTTCATCCTTTATTGAAGTTGATGCTGTGGCTAGGTTAACATTTATCTTTGTGCTATTTGCTGTATATAACACTCATCAAGCTCATTATGGGTTCTAACCTGTACTAAATTCAGTCTACTTTTTAAATTCTCATTCTTCCATGATGTTTTGTGAATATTGGGCCTGACATAATGGCGAAAAATGGTCTCCCAATATGCGAATATTCATCCTTTGATATCCAGGGTATGATATAACATTGAAGTGTGCTTCCCTCCTGTGTTGTAGGGAGGCCAGTGGCTGCAGGAGTCTTCCCCACTGTGCCGTGTCACCTGCACAGATGACACAGAGTTCACTTTATACAGGTACGGAGTAGCCTGGTTAGCCTCCTGTGCAGGCCTGTGGGCAGGTGGGAGTTTTGATGCTGCGGCAGGTACAAACCTTCTATGGGTGTCGGGTTGTAGGGTGGCCGGCAAAAGAATGTGTTAAAATTTCTACAAAATGCAGTATCAAAACTCCCACCCACCTGAAGGCTTGCACAGGAGGCCAAGCCTGGTATCCACCCTAGTCTAGCCCCAGTCTTGCTAATTGCTTGCTTCGCAGCAAAATTCTCTGTCCCCATTCAAGTTGAAGAGCCCACCACATTTATTGATAAGAATAAAGGATGCCTTCCAACACTTAAACAGCATGAACAAACATGATAGAGGCAAGTGTCAGGCTGCCATCAAGCATCAGCATCAGTGTGCAAACATGTCCAACTCACAGAAGACAGGGAACAACTGATGATGAGGATAGTGAGCGAATGAGTAGGGGTCATTCTTGGTGTGAGTTAAACCTATTAGTCTGATCTAAGACTTGCACTTGCTGTACCAAGCTGTTGTAATTTTGGAATATTCGCTTCAGTTCGAGTATTACCTCTTTATTTTCCAGTTGCATCAAAGGAAAGCTGGTGGAAGTGAATGAGAACCTCATCAACTCACCTCAGCTACTGACAGAGAAGGTAAGATTCTTCTCGTCTTGTTCTTTTCGTTTGCCTGGTCTGCATTTTAGCTCTTCCTGTCTCCTCCTGCCTCCTAGAACAAAAATATGTACATGTATGGAAGGAATCCAACACAATTTCAGAGTGGCCAAACTGGATGTTCAAAGTCACTTTTCTTGTCACCATTTTCAAATCTGAAATAACAATGACAATGTGCAAAGAAATTGCAGTAATTATAATTGACAGATTTCCTCATCCAGAATTTTTTTTGTTTTGCTGTCTTGAAATTGCATTTTTTGGATGACTTAAAAAAACACTGAGCCATCACTACATCTGCTTGGAGATGACGTCATGACCCAGTGACCTGACCTCACGATGACCTCACACTAACCAATTCTCTTCACGCTCTCCCCATGCCCAATCCAATAATGATAGATGTAGAACGCAGAGTCGTTCAATACAACATGCCAACGGCTATGGGTTAACATTTATACATGTTACATGTAGATACATACATACATGACATGTACATCCAAGTATTATATTGCCAGTCTGCTAGTATCCTTTTGCAGCAATATAGATATATATTACTGCAAAATGATAGATCTACTAGTATACAGCTTATCGAGGCCAAGTCGTTCAATACAAGATACCAAGGGCTATGGGTTCAGATTTACATTATACAGCTATATCTAAGTATTCTATCGTCAATCTATCACTTTGCAGCGATATAGGTTGCACAGGATCTCAGGATAGGTGTAGCTTATGGAAGCAGAGTCGTTCAATACAAGATGCTAGAGTCTATGGGTTAAAATTTACATTATACATTCTATATCTAAGTATTTTACCGTGCCAAGGGCTATGGGTTAAGGTTTATATCACACATGTAGATCCAACTTGCGATTTAGTCATTCAGCTCCGAGAAGTTTCAAAATATACCTGGTGGTTTACAACATGCTGAAATACCAATACATTTTGACAGAGTAGTGGGACTAGTTATATTAACAGTGATTGATACAGGTAATACGATGTTGCTATATAGAGTATATCCGGTTACGCACGTAAACTGAGTACCGTCATCATTCAAAGAATAAATTCTGTTTATGAAAACCATAACGGCAGCGAAAGGACGGTCCATCACAGAAACCTACGTCAGTGCATCCTTTTTTTGCCGAATTTTAGAATCCGTAGTCCCGTCTGAGGAAGACCTTCTGGAGCCTACATCGGCGTGCTGAGAGAATTTTGAGCCGCGACCTAATGTTCTTGATCTGAAATAAATGATCATTTTGGTCTGAACAGTATGCAAAATTATAGCAATGCTAAACTTTATACCAAAACCATTTTACCACGATTACTATCAACACAGATGAACGTCAATGATGGTATGCAAAATTGAAAAGATTGCGCCAAAGAATGAAGCAATGGCTCTGCTTTACTTTAATGAAGCGCTCTTTTGCTGCAACAGTTTGCCTATTTTCTTAAATTGAGCAGCAGAACGGGTCGCCATGTCAGTGAGTCGGATGATGTATGTGAAGTCGATAGAGGGCAAAGATTGCGTCAAAGACTGAAGCAATGGCTCAGTTTTGATGAGCATGTACTTTAGTTCAATGAAGCGCTTTTGACGCAACAGTTTGCCTATTTTCCAACAGCATCAGTTATTAGGCCACAGCAAGTAAATTTTATGGATGGCATCCTCTGCAGTCTGCAAATCTATTGCGATAGGGCGAATAAAAAAATCCAGCCAAAAAATGCTGCTAAACCACAGGAATACAAAGCCGGTACATGCTGGCCTTTTGCAGCATTTATGAGTCGGCACAGTATTTTATTTATTTATTTATCTAAATTGCAAACAATACAGTGCAATACAGTGGAAGCCCTGGCAGCTGAGCTGATGTCGGGCCCCACGTTGTGAATTACATACATACATAACACAATATCTATTCAGCAACTGATTTTTTTATTTATTTTAGAACAAGCTTTCAGTAATATTGTATTGTACTGCATCAGCAATTCAGCCTTCGGGCTGCAACATGGCAAGTGATGTATATTTTGATAAACCATTCATCATCATCATCAATCACGTCGATAGAGGGAAAACCCCCTCCGCGTGATGACGAAAGCCGTTAAGCCCTGATGGATGAGGATTGGACGGGATGCGCCTGTAGGGGGTTGTTATATGTTTCTGACGCACACGGAACTCGTTTGTCACGGCGGTACTAGCACGTGTGCTGCGTGCTAATGAAAAAAATAGCCTCCTGTGCAGACTTTTCAGTAGCCTGGTTACCAGACTTATTATAGTTCCCGAGTCCTACACCCTCTCCGCAAATAGGAGGATGTAGTAGGACTCGGAAACTATGATAATAGGTCTGGTAACCAGGCTAACTTTTCAGCGAGAAACCTTTGTTTCTGATGCACACGGAACTCGTTTGTCACTGCGGTACTAGCACGTGTGCTGCCTGCTAATGCAAAAACTAGCCCCCTGTGCAGACTTTTCGGTAGCCTGGTTACCAGACCTATTATAGCTCCCGAGTCCTACATCCTCTCCTTAGCCTGGTTACCAAACCTATTATAGCTCCCGAGTCCTACATCCTCTCCGCAAATAGGAGGATGTAGGACTCTGGTGGAGAGTTGTATATGGCGAAGGCAGCATCGGACCAACTTCCCCAAAAGAAACTGCTGCGTTGCACTTGTAGATACAAGTTTTGCCCGCTAGAAAGTCTATACAGGAGGCTAGCATGCAGAAAACGGTTAGCAGGCCGCTGGCCCCGAAAGAGGCTGCGATGGAGGGAAGTTTTTCTCTATACAGCAACTGATGCAGATCCGTGGTACCTCACTGACACTCATCGACTACGTTTTTGTGATATGGGGCTCATGAATATCATACTTATGAAAACTACATCTAGAATAATACTGAAAATGGAGATGTTACATTTTAGTTTCAGTTAAGTTTCAGACGGGAGTGTGTAGCTATCTTGATGTTTGATCAATGTGTAAGATTTTGAGAAGAAGAAGGATATATCTAGGTTATATCTATTTACATTTTTGTACAGTTTCTAGTACTTATGTGAAATGTATAAACGGAAATAAGATATTTAATCTATATACAGCATACAATATATATATATATATATATATATATTGTCCCTTGGGTGGTGGCAACCTAGTGAAGGGGAGCGGCCCGTTAGAAAAAAGAACTGCCACCAGTGACAGGGGGAATGTCTCGAAATTGATGATGCTTGAACGATGAGGCACGTGCGTATGCAGAGCGTGGTGTGATCTATAGGTTCTTGATGACCACACCTCGCTGATGATACAGGCGATTGGAATCCGCTGGACATACATCACGATCGGAAACGACAGCCATCTAACGGTCAATTTAGCGCAAATGAAAGAGCAGGCTTGGAGTTTTATGGCTTGGAAGGCGATGAGAGAGCAGATTAAGTGGCGAGGAGTTATTAATTATATGTGTGCTGATCTAGAGTTGTCGGGGTGGCCAGGCGGTCACCAGGTCAGGCTGAGTTACGGTTGAAGCGCTCAGGCTGTCGAGAAGATTCCGCCAAGAAAATCGGTACAATCATGCCAATGCGTAGGTAAATGTTAGACATCAGGTAATGTGATACGCCAAAACAGCTAAGCAACTGGATATGATTTTCGAAAATCATATCCAGTTGCTTGAGTAACTGTTTTTTGGCGAATGATGCTGACAGATGCGGGAAACTTTCTGTTGTGGCCTGTGCATGTGTTATATGGTACCCAAGTCAATGTACATCATAAAGGTTTGTGTATCTTAGTACCCTTGTTATGTTTGTTCAAGAAGTGTTTTGTCGTCCCTCGATGGCTCCCAACTTACCACTGCTATTCTATCCTATCATCAGTGTTGGGTTGTCTTCTTTGTCATGACCATTGTAAGGATGGCTCTTCTGTGAGCTACAACTGGATCAAGATCACTTTTTTCTTTTATCATGTGTTGTTGTTATTTGAAGTTTTTGTTGTTCACGTGTTGTTCTTCTTGTTGTTGTTTAAGCCGTCATCGGAAGGCTACGTCGCCATCGTGCTTCCGAAGTTCGGCGAGAGCGACAAGGAGATGGCGAGACTGCTGTCCCCGCAACAGTACCGGGACGCGCTGGCACGCAGGGAACGAGAGGGACCAGCCGCAGCAGCCGGGGAACGAGAAGATGCTCCGTCCTGCTCCAAAATGGAGGGGGAGGAGGATAAGGATGAGAAAGATCAGGGGGGAAAGAAAGATTCTGGCGACGAACCAGAACAAAAGAGAGTAAAGCTAGAACTGACAGATAAGGAACAGACATCTTCTTAAGACTTCGCTTGAAAACGTCTTACCATGTAATGCATAGAACTGACTATAGCATGCAACGCATAGAATAGCTAAATCTTTGACAATTATTACTGTAGCAAAAAAAAAGTTAGTTATCGTTTGTGCTGGAACTACTTAGAAACCAATACATGTGCATGCATGTGGAACTCTAAGTGGCTTTAGGTGTATTTTGTAGGGCAGGCAGGTTGTTCCAATTACCAAGGCCTACCGTAAAGAATTATAGCAATGAGATTAGTGCAGTTGTACAGTTTACGTTTTAAAAACTTGACACCTTTTCCAAGTGGCGACTCAATCCGCAAAACTTCACTTTTGACGCATCAAACTAGCCTCTACCAGGCTTTGGAAAGCGACTGGAAGGAGTAGAAATTGGCCAAATAGACAGATGATATGCCAAGGGAGTTGGTCCGCGCTAAAGGAACAGCTCGCTTCGGGAACGGCAAAATGTTTTCTTAGTGCGGACCAACTCCCGTGGCTATTTGGCCAATTTCTAGTCTTTCCAGCCGCTTCCCGAAGCCTGGTAGAGGCTAGCATCAAACCCAGGTACAATACATGACCTGATTCCGAGGACACTGCGCTAGTGGATGGCCTACTTGGCATCCTGACACAGTATGTTGAGAAGTGCCCTGTGCTATCCTGTACGATTCATCACGCTGGTCCTGTCTCCTCCTGCTGAATGATGGAGCTCACTCGCATGACCCGTTTTGCGTCCGCAGTGTTTAAGTTACACTAGGCATCCCGAGGATACATAGAGCCGTGGTTGATTGCGAGACGACCTCTGTCTCCTGTGCTCAACCTTCCAGCTGGGTGACATTTAAATGTTGGAGAGAGAGCGTGACAGATGCTGCCTTGTTGCTAGGGAAATGGCTGAGCTGCTATGATGCTGCTGCAGCACTTCTTCGATACAGTTATACTTGTAGAATACTAGAACATCTTTGTAACGTTATCTGTGTTGTGTTAACTATTAAGGCGTCACGTTAAAGCACCCAACACACATACCGAGAAGAGTAGGGTGACCAGGTGTGCTTGGTTATAAAAAAATCGACCTTCAGGTCACTTTTTACTGAGGTCATGAAGGAGGAGTTAAGGATTAGATAAAATATGTGAAATAGATAAAGTTTACTGTAATTTGAAGTCAATGTCAATGACAAGGAAATGGAATACTAACGAGTACGCAAAACTATTCTTTGTTACCAACTTTATGGACGTATACATTTTAGCTGTTAAACAATCATGACTAATACATATCATTACAACACCAAACTGGTCAAAACTGTCTGTGTGTGTGTAGCTACTAGCGTATCAACGTTGTTTGACAGTATTTTGTGTTCTATTGGTATTTTGTGTTTCACATGGTATATTACACATCGATATTCTTTTGCTACATATTCGTCACTTGTTGAGATGCACAGATGTGTTTTTACTTAGTGGTCCCCATGTAACACGGCCGTTAGGCCACTTCAAGGTGAACGGTTGTACCACCTGAATGGTATCACCACTCACCTGGGTTACGGGTTACCGAGTAGAACTGTAACAGCAACTCTTTTCCCTGAGTCAGAAACATCATGATTGAGACCAGCCCAATTTCTCACAAGTAGTGAGGACTAACTGACCCAATAGGAGAAGCAGGGGTTACGAGGCTGGTCGGGAAAATTGCTCACGTTTGTCAGCTGTTCCATCTCTCCGGTAAGGTATCGTTCCTCTCCATCTGGAGATGTTCTGCCTGATTGCCAACACCGTGACCCGAACGACCTGCGCCATGAAACATGGCTACCTTAGGAACTGTGTGGGTTTCCAACCCACTTCTTATCGTGTCGCCACAGCTGTCTTCAATACAAGTGTAACAATCACACAGCTGACATAGGTTTTCTTCGCAAAGGTACGCGTGTGTGTGAGCTCTTCTAAAATATCACGAGTTTCTCAGTCAGTCATCATTTTACCTGGTTGCAATTACTTAGTAAACGTTTAACACAGGGATCCAGGCCAATATTTTCGACTCAATAGGTCACGTTTGACATTGCATAAAGTACTGGTGCTTTTCTAGGTTGTTTCTACAGTCTTGCGGCAGTTTTCTAGATTTGTGTCCTCCTCCCCATGTCCCCGCTATTAAATCCAGATCCTGGAGCGCCCGGCTCAGCACGGGTCAACGTCGATTGACCTGTTTGCTTTTACATGCCAGAACGCGGGGAATGAACAATTACTCCACGCGAAAAGGGTAAGCAGAAAAGAACAACCGACAGCCTTTTAAATTTCCTGGCACCATGCCTGGCAGCCGTACTTTCGAATCCACTCGCTCGGAACTGATTACACCAGCAGTGGCTTTTGTACCTGATAGAGTGGCTATCAAGGAGCTGTCAGCCTTTTCTGTTGCCTGCCACATTCGTCGTTTCGCTTTTGTGAGCAGCACAGAAAGACACAATGCACATGTCTTGGAGGAAATGTCTCCTACGATGTCCTGCCCAATCCATCTCTGGTTTAACGATGACAGTGGTATAAAATACCTGTTCACACAGATACCCTTTTGAACTTGTCAGGGTTCATCACTGCTGCCTGTATAAATCTACGCGACAGAGACTTGGCAGTGATCTTGAACGTTCTTTATGATGTTTTGACATTTAAGACAACGTTCTGGACAAAGGTACGCCTCCACTAGGACAGAGAGAAACCTGGCTGTCCTATTCTTTTAGTGATGCATGGCACACAAGTTATTTATCTATTTCATCATAAAACGACTGGATGGCCCATTCAGCTTATAAGAGCTTATTTCCGCATTTTAAGGGTAAACGTTAGCATTAGTCATTTCTAACGAAATGATTATCTTGTTTGCTTGCCATTTAATTTGTACCCGATATCGAGTAGGAACAATTACATGTTTCAGATTATCATGAAAGTTCATCTGCGTTGGTAGTAATCATAGTAAAGCGCTGAACTTTATTCCAACACAAACTTGCACAGGAATGAATTTTTCAGCGACCACTGTCGCCTTCATCATCATAATTAATGTTTCATGTTATATAGCTTGAGCTGAAATGACTATATTGGCTCAGAGGTGCTAGGCTGGGATTATGGCAATATTTCTGTCACTATGCTCTTGGAAACATAAATGTACCTTGATATGTCCTTTGAAATATTGTTGGCTCCCTTTGCCAAACACAACCAACTTAGGTACCGTACTTCCAAATCAAAAATGTCGAGGCAGATTACCCTGGTTAGAGGATGTAGGACTCGGGAGCTATAATACTAGTAGGTTTGGTAACCAGGCTACAGACAGATCTTCTTTCTACATTGATAAAGTTGCCTTTTGGCCTGGCTATAATTCAAACACCGGCCCTATTCACACCGTTCGGAAAGGATTCGTCAAGCCTATACTTTCTCCAAGTCAGCATTACGGGCACAACAATGCACAAGAAAGGCTCGGCGATGTCCGTGGAGATTATAACCTTTCAGAATGTCGTGGAAAGAAAGAGTAATATATTGCGATGTCACATTAACTGTCGCACAAGACAGGCACTATTATCCAGCATTACTGACAGATCCTGACAGTAGAGTAGAACGTTGTGGAGTTGACGAATTCTGTGTCTCATTTCTGGAAAGTCGATCAGATGACCTCTTGAGGTTCTAAGGACGACATGACGGATTGGACAGTCCCCCTGCAGGTGACTACTGTTTATTTTGACGCCCCGAAACTCGGTATTCCTGTGACGTGGGGAGACAAAGGTCCCGAGATGACGTAGGAACGGTCAGGCTCCCGGACATGGGGCTCGCCCCTAGAGGCAACCCTTACACAAACCGTACAGAGATCGAGAACTGGCACATCTGGGCAGGAACTAAACTACTCTTACATCTGGTAGGCAGAAGCCGGTAGGGATGTATATGTGGGCCTGTAAAAGCTTTTTTAAGGGCTTGTCATTCAGAGGGATAGATAAGGTTAGCTTTTACTGCCATCGGCAACAAAGGTGTTATCGAAAACATATCAACGTATTTTTGTTGATATAGGTTCCTTGTCTATAAAAGAACACGATTGTAAGTAAGTGGGTTTGCAGTACGGTATTTACCACAGAATCGATATTCTCTTTAAATAGAAAGGAAGTGTTAATGACAAGGGTGCATTGTACTACTGGCCTGACGGCAATGTTTCAGGCATCACTGAAATTGTGATTATGTATACATAAATCTTTATATCAGTGAATATATACCCATTACAAAGACAATCGTAAGACTATTTGGTGCAGTGAACTATTTGGTGCATTGAACTCTCAAAGTAGTCTCATGTGGCATTTATGCAAGGTTTAAAGACACACAAAGTGACAGAAGCTGTCCTTGGAATGTCCAAGATGTGTCCATAAAACACACATTCTAACACGGTCATGTACACACAGGGTCTAAATATAGGTCTTTCCTCAAAATAGGTACAAACATAACCTACATAAATCCACCGTTTTTATGGACCACATGTTCAATGCGTCCCATATGAGGGATGAACAGGTTGACCTTTTCAATTACACTCATCACAGGCAGCATTCTGTTATACTAGTAATCTTATTAAAAGTGTACCTTGAGGCATTACTGTACGAATAGACATAAGATAGTAATGTTTCCTTGATCTCTAGTCGCGTAGACGATTATTTCTGCGAAATATTACGTTCTTTTTGCCTCATGCCTGTAGTAGTAATGGCAAACAACATGGTCGGGTACAATTAGAACGGGAGGGGACCGACTTTTAAACTTCTACCTTTGGCGTCGCCACACTGTTGCAGTATCAGGTACTAGGCTAGCCCCATATAGTCTCCATCAGGCTTTGCAGGATGAATAGATAGTAGCAATCGGCCCAGAAAGGAATGTAACTGGCCAGGGGAGTTAGTCGGCCATAGAGGGTCCAATATGCCTGCACGTACAATAAATATATCCCGGATATTATCATTATTAACATGTGTAAAATCTGCACTGCAAAGTTGCCAGGAAGCCAGGCGTACAGCACCCTTTGTAAACGCTGACAGGTATATGATGGTCCGCAGCTACGTTGCCATTCGGCCGTCCGACTCTTGAGTATGTTGGAGTGTCTTATTTTCCAGTTAGATGAGCTCCTTGAACTCTGAGGACGGATAAGGCAGGGCGTCTGTTTTTCCCGAGGTTCATCCTTAGGTCATGACCACTGTCAAAGGGTCAACTATTGGATATTTTGCTACAGATATGACAACCTGTATTTTCTGCCAACTCGGAGTCTTAATTAACATTTTTACAGACATCTTTAATTGTTACCTATATTAACACATATATCTAGCTTCACGCTTATGTAAATATGATTTCCACTTAGATTGTAGCAGTCTTGCGTAGGAGTAAATTGCTGAGATGATTAAGTTATCATTATAAGACTTTAGTTGCAAAATCATGCCCGAAGGCTAATTGCTTTTACAGTTAAAGGATAATGCATAATACAACAATAGGAGACAAACACTGTCTGGAAAAACTTCTACTTCTACTACTACGCTAGCTATTATGAGGACCGGTATCAATTAGTCTCTAATTTAGGTCCACTGCCATTTGCACAACTGTCAACCGGTTTGACGGCTCTTGCCCTTTGGGCACTTGCCAGAAGCTTGACAAGGTGGGCGGACAGCCTTAACGCAACAACTGAAACCTGCTGCAAACTCATCAGAAATCACTGGTGTGTAAATAGGGGATAACTCGAGGCCAATGTCAATGTCAATGCCAATTCGTCCTCTTATGTGTATATCATAGACTGCATCTGTGATAGATTAACGTGGTGTTAAAACTGATACTTCTTCCATTGAGTATAAATGCGACAAAAAAAGCTGCATCTAAAGATTGATTATCATGTGTTCGTCAATAACTCTGTATGTAAAAGTCCAATTCGAACCTGCTTTCACTGGGGGTAGCAGTTTGCTTTTAACTGTACAAATGTATTTGGCTTGTTCCTTTGACAGGTATACTAGTATTCGATTAACTCGAGAAGAAGACCAGTTTGACAGGTGCTTCGCGTAAACATTTTTCATCTGTTTCATAACGCCACATTCCTGCAACATTTACAGCTACGGATTACGAGAGGCTGTGTCCTTAGATAACTTTGCAACGCTTGCCTGTGCACTGTGAGAATAAATATCCTTGGGGGGGGGGGAGTAATCCTTTGTTTACTCAACAGGGTCGACCTTGCAACGACAAGGTATTATGGCAAGTTGAAGTTGAAGGTCGAGCCTGTTTGAGCTTGTCCCTTGAGGAATTATACGCCCTGCATGGATTATATGAAACGCTAGCTAGGACTGGGAGTAATGATTAATGAATTCACACATAATCCTGATATCCAATTCTAATGCTTCTGGGGGGACAACCTTGCAAGATATTATGGCAACTTAAAGGTGAAGGTCGTTCCTGTCAGTGAAACTTTCCGTTTCTGGATGATATGAAACGCTCGGACTGTGAATTCTAATCAAGAAATTCACACATAATACTGATATCCAATTCTTCAATAATCGTGACTTCGAGGCCCAAGCAAAATAGCATGCTTTGTGCATCGGATCTAATTCATTTATTTTGGGAATTTCTTCCACCAACTCCGACATCCAATGTTGAAATGAGTAACTGATGCGGGAGCAAAGGTGACTAAGAATATAGATAGATCTAGAAGTCTTCCCAAGGCCTTAATTGTCCATGACCGAGACAATTCCTCAAAAGTAATCGCTTTTAGACTGTGTCACATTCCGCTTCGGAGCCATCCGGACTACAGGTTACCTTGATACAATGTTAGTTTCCACAGACAGAAGCTATCTATCTACCCTCTCTATCTCTATCTGTATGCCCTAGCCACAACTTGAGCTATGGCAGATTCACTGTCCAATATCTGTAATCCGGATGTTCAGTGTGTTTAAGCAATATTACATACACTACCATATAGTCCGTGTCATTGAATTGTTGCCAAAATCGTAATAAGACAAATGTATTGCGGCCTTGCATCTCCATATACATGTATCACCCTGTGTGTTTTGGGTGACTTTCCACAGTATCTATCTAACCTTGACTAGCGGTGGTAGGTATGTAAGAAACCGCGTTTTATCTTAAAACGACCTGATTTGTCGAATGGCCCTGGTGTCTGCCGCCTTACTATCAGCACCTCTATTGTTATGGGTCCAAAACAAAGGTAGAAAAGAAACATCTTGGGGCCTCCCACAGATTGGCGCACAGTCAAGATGTCCTTTGTGATGTCTCAATCCTGCTGACATAGGCAGGATTTCAGTTGTATTTGGACGCCAAAAGTAGCCAATATCTGGAATTTAAGTTAGATTGCAGGTATTCTTGGCCATCTAACTTAGATTGAAGGTATTGTTGGCTTCCAAATCATGCCTATGTCAGCAGGATTGAAACATGCGATATCTTGAACGTACGCCAAGTTAAGGTAGGTCACAAGGTGGCTTCTATCCCTTTTCTCTTTGTCTGCATAGGTGTGTTTTCTGTCGAGTTAGAAATACTGTAGATGGATATATCCCTTTTGTTATGTGCGGTCACTTAAGATTGTTTTTAAAAGAAACTTAACCCTTATCAAGGTTGTCATTTAATAAACTGGATAGATTGTTTTTGAATGCTTAGATATATTCTCCTGTTTTCAGATTGTGACGCAACATTAGGAACATTTAATTAATCGCATACCAATTAATAGAACAATCAAAGGTAAAGCTGCTGACTTGGTAATTAGTTAAAGAAGTCAGCCTTAGTGTTCCCCACATACATGGCCATTACTAAAAGCTACAAGTACAACAGATGGCTTGGGTACCCTCCCTTGGCACCATGCAGTTTCTACCACATTACAGTTGATATAAACACGACTTTGTAACGCACAACAGAACTGAAATGTATGCTAGAGAGAGGTGGGGACGGAGCAGGAACAGGTGGGGTGGCCGAGGAAAGTGTCTTGCTCAACTGCAGGCCTTTCTTTGGGTTACATCTGGTCACTATTTTTACAAGTGGTTAATTTTACAAAATTATCACTCTTTTAGTCGGTGTTACACAGCAGGAAAATTATTGTCCTAACGAAGCTACCTATGAACTCAAAAAGACATTTTAGGAAGCAATACAGTCGATGTCCGCAGTATAGGATTTTAGGGTGGTGTTGCAGGTCATCTACATGCGACCTTCTAACGTTATATTAAACAGTGAATTAATCTTTATTGCATATTCCTGCCCAGATTGACAGAATGGCGAAATGCGTAATGTGACCAAATGTGACATAGAGGGTATAAAACATATATTGCATACTGAAAGTCTATATATTACAACAATACTACTAAGTATATACTACTATGATCATCTAGTCGTCGAATGTATGTCACAGTATGACAGTGTTTTGCAGGATTTGATAATTGAAATGCACAGGTGTGACAAAAGGGCAACCATAATGTTACGAGATCATAAAAATACACAGTCAACCGTTATCACTCATAAAATAGTGTTAGTATGCTAGCTCTTTGTCCTAGGGAACGATTTTGTTATTCCATATCTTTACATCGTCCTATTCGTTTACTTGGCAATCGATTTGAATGCCATTGCCAGCACCTAATGCTTTATTCTGTACAGTTAAGTAAATTTGCGGTTTATAGTTTCAATATTTGCGTAACCTTAATTGTATGAGACCAAAGTCAACTGAGGCGATGCAGCTGAAATCGCTAACGTTGCATTGACGGATCTGTTCTCCCACAGTTATTTTTTTACAGTTCTCGTAACAGATAAGTAGAAAGTCGTTGCCAAGAACTTTGGTGTTTTGTAAGTAAGACAATGAGGGGCAAGTCCAAAGTCCAACTGAAGGAGGTTCTTAGTAGTATGTGACAGGATAAAAAGATTATTATTAGTACCAAAGTCTGCAGCCAAGTATGTGAAGGCCGTTACATCAGGCGTTTCTGGGGCACGGGCTATCTCTCCTCTACACGGCGGCTCACTTTGATCACAGGAAGTAACACCTTCACTGGTAATTTGTAGCCTCTCGGCTTTGGACTTCAGATTTCGAATATGCATTCTCTCCCCGAAATACTGTCCTGAAATACCAGTAAACAAGCCAAGATGTTCGGGAGTAAAATGTTGACTTGTTTTGCAGAGCTTCACAATGTCAAAGTCACTGTACTCTGTCGCAGTAACAGGTACTACAATGAGGCTACAAGAATATAGGAATATCTGTATCTATATATCTGTATAGCCGGTATAACCGCCCTTCAGTGTAACACACCAGCTTCGCAGGCACGCGGCGCGGCGGCAGCTGGCTATATTACGAGCGACTTGTTACATGTAGCCTACCTCTAACTCTAATTGTTTAAAGCTATCTAGTGATGAAGCCCCTACTGTACTTGGTGACAGCGAGTTCCACACTACTATGATGTATAGTTCTACGAAAAATCGAGTTTTTAGCACCTCAACCCTTTTTGAAGGCATGAAATTGAAATATATACGTCGATTGCGTGAAAAGAGAGGATATTTACACTTTACACATTACACTTTGAAATATTGGTGATGATATTGACTGTAATGGCATATTTCGATACCATTTAGTATGATCTACATGAATTGAATTTCTAACGACTAGAGCTGGTCTCGATGTGGGTAGAGGGAGTCACAGAACGCCTGTAGTCAGAAAACCACAGTAACCGCACCGGTCAAAGAGCCCCTCTTTACTCAGTCCCCCGAGCCTATGCGGCCTTCCTAGCGGTAGAACGTGTAGAAACTATGTCTTAACAAATTGATTAATTGTGAACGTTTGAACCGTGTGCGGACTCCATACTGTGCGTTAGGATACTATAGCATAGGTCCACAGCATGGATATAGTGGTCATTCCTTGCTGAATAGATTGAATACTTCCCCACTCACATTGTCAGCGCACGCATACAGTCATGCTTTCACAACTGCACGTACGGTTAAACAAAAGCTGACCCATTTTTAAGTACTAGCACAATTGTTCAGCAATACCGGCTGAACAATTGGTCACCTAGAAAAGAAGACGTTTTCAACCAATACTGCGTACGTATTTCCGATTGGAGAATGGCTGCAAAAGCAACTCTAGATAGCTGACATAACCGGCATGCCTTCCCTGCTGAGAGAATGGTTTAGGCTATGGGATCGGTGCGATCTATATTGCCCCATGAAATTCCTGGGCTCGTTAGAAAGTTATTGGGTCACCGTTCACACGGGTCACACTGGCATGGCATGCACGGTGACAGCACTCTCCCGTCCGCAAGGTGAAAATGTTAAGCAAACTATATGTAAAAGCAAACAAAGCGGCTCGACAAGTGACAGTACCACTTCGCGAACTGCCATGAAGTGTGGCAAGTGCTTAAGTAATAGTTTTCCTGTGACAAGTGCTAAATAGAAAGCTACCATAAGAATGATGCAAGCTAAAAATGAGGGCGAGGTGTCCAACATGTGACATAGTGGATAAGAAGGTGTGGGACGACACAAGTCAATGTGTACCTCCGCAATGGCAGTGATTAAGTGTGTAGATCGTATCGTGACAGACTTTCAAACACTCATTGTTAGCGGAGCAGCAAACAATTAGTCATACTTGGCAGGGAAACCTGAGCAAATGTGCTGATCCTTCATGTCACTAGCGACGCCTAGGACAGGTCAGGACGGCTCGCTGGCGAGGCGGTCACAGCACAAACGAGATAGGGGTGGAAGAATGTCAAAACTCCGATATTACGTCGTTAAGGTATGCACTTCATAGCGACTTCAAAGAAAAGAAGGGGCTAAAAATGGAGAAGTTAACTCGGTTTATTTTCAACGAGACGTGGTGCGAGTTTGTACAAAGTACAGAACACGGTGGGAATGTTACGAGGCACAAGTGAACTGAACTCTTCCCCTCTTGTCGCCATATCAACGTGATTGGCAGCTTGTCAGCGCTGGGGATCAGATGATTGGGCCAAACGACACAATGGATTGGTCCACAGCCCCCCTATCAGCTCACAATGAATAGTCTCCCCGCTCCCTATAAAGCACGGTGTCAGTCCGAGAGTCGCTCGCATGCCACTAGCTGGGTGCCACTGTTCCGCGTGCTTAGGGACTCTCCCGGACCGACGCCTCTGTAGCCAACACCATCCACCACCATGTTTTTCCACCAAACGCTAGTCTACACGATTCTGCCGTTAGTTTACTGCATGCATATGCACGCCAACGACGTCGACATTGAGGTCCTGCAGTGGACGACAGGGGAAGAGGCAAACGTGAACAGCACCAGGGAGCGCCCGAGCGGGTCTTCGGTAGACGCGCCCCCGACCACCGGGTACCGGGAAGAGGCGACGCCGCCGGGCCCGGCAGAGACTTCCAAGTGCGGCGCGGCCTGCACGCGAGGACAGGAACGGGAGATGCGAGTAGAAACCCTAAAAAAGCACATTCTTGATAAACTTGGTTTGAAGAGATCACCGACCATCCCCAGAAATCGCACCCTTCCAAGTGCGCCTCCGATGCAAAGTCTTCTCGATCAATATGGATTTTATCCGGATAGGTCAGGAAATATCGTATCTGGAGAAGACATTACACAAGGTAGGTTCTGCTCTTTTATATGCTATAGAATACCGACCCCTATGATATCTACGACGAAACGTACACATACAAGTAGCCTGGAAGCTATAGATAATAACGATGATTGGAATGGAATACCTACCATTGCTCAGTGTTGTTTTACTGCTGTTGTTTTAGTGGTCAGCATAGCTAGCTCAGTAAGGATAGCAACAATCAGCCGCAGTGCCAATTCTTACACGTCCTAAGCGACTTGATAGTTGCATCATTTGGAACAGTTACCGCTATCAGAGCTGTGTTTACCAAGCTATCGGCTGTGTTTGCCAAAGCGACCTCCTCATCGTTCGAAGGTCTCAGTGAACGAACAATCGTTGTTCAATCGTCGGAATTATCGAAATGCCTTAGATATGTCGTGATTCTATGCATTATGAATGATATTACAAGGCATCGACTGATTTTTGAAATCATAGAGGCTACTTGTGCTATGAAAGTGCATTGGACTGTATCCACATATCATCTTTCCGGGGTTCTGTTAATTCATACATTGCACATGGTAAAATTGATTCTGCCCTGCTTTTGTGGTCTAGTCTGGTAATTGCAATGATTTCATTTTGATGTCATAGAAACAATGTTCTTTGTATAGGTATGAGCTTTCTTATGCTCCATGTAAGTACTAGGACTTGGTGGACTTTATCATGTAGTATGCAAAATCTATGTATCGCCTGATACTAGCACTGTACAAATTAGCACAGCAATGCTGTCCAATGTTCAATAGGGTATTTGCGAGAGCCTAATCTGATGAAGTACCTGTTCTTTTGTTAGCTTTCCAGGGAGATTCTCCCGCCAGCTATAACTACCACCTAGTGGATACGGAGAGAAGACATTATGAAGATGTCGCCGAGACAGAGACGGTTATAACTGTCGCAACACCACGTAAGTACACTTTTAGACAGTCTGCACAACAGCAGACTATAGTTGATATAACAATTAAGAAATCATCTTTTTAAAGTCGTCATCTAAAGTGACAAAAACACAGAAATAGAGGGAATTGGGCCATAAATACGCACTCTCTCTAACTCATTTGACACATACCCAAACACGAGCAAGCAAGGAATACAGTTTTCTCATCATTCTGCAAAAAATGACCCTATGACGTCCCAAAATCATATTGTATCTGAACAGTTAATAATATATTTTTAATGTCAAAACCACCTAAGATAATGACAGAAATTGAAGTAATCTGTTTTTGAAAGTTGTTATGGGTTAATTTCGGTCATTGCTATCAATAAAAAAGTATCATAACTACAAGCGGAATCAGGTTGCCCTTGATGATGTAAAGGTCCGTTCGAACATCTTTGGCATTGAACTCTGACAACAGATATCGGCGTAAATACATTTATATATACCCCACCGGCGCCGCCTGGACTCGCCTGGCCACAACTAGGCAGAAAGATGTCGCCGTTCGGCACCAAAGATCACGCCCTTGGAAGCTATGACAGCGATTTGATTTACGTGAAAATTTTCGGACCAGATGAATAACTGTCATTGCTATCTTCATATCTTCTTCGAACCACTGGGCATCCCCAAGACAACCCAACTCAAAGACTGACACTTCTAAATTGGCTACTTTGTATCCATCTGGAAACGTTCTGACCTAGCGAACGATTGTGTCACGAACGTGAAGAGAGAGCACAGGGTCGTGAGTTGGCAAAATTCTGCCCTCCTTTTCCATCAGCTGGTATCATAACTCACGCCGTGGCATGAAGAGGCATAGATCTGTCAGGACCATGAGAATGTTATTGCCGCTCTCATAACAAATAATACTTATTGGAGAGTTCAGTATTCTCTACCTTTCTTCCAATGGCTTACACATTATTATACTGTAATACAATAACCCTTGGCACTTCGTAATCAAGCTCAATCTTGTTTGAGGGTCTCCCACTCTATCGGAGTGATTGAAATTCCGGAAAAGCCCCTGGTACTACTTTTGGAAATTATTGACGTAATACGATGTCTTACATAGCTTAAGTTATTGTAAGGGCCGGAATGTAGCCATTGGTCAATGCAACAAGTGGATCATTATTGGCGACCGATAGGTCATAATCTTTTATATACCTGTAGAAAAGTATCTATAGCCTCAATACAACCATTTTTCTATAAACACAGGGTTGATAATTCAACGAACCAAATATACAAGAGACCGCGTGTATTCGCCAACATAATCCATATTGAACAGTATGGCAAAATGTCCATGTTAGCATGATGGTTATGCTAAGATATAATGTAAAGTATACGTGTGATCTCTATAAAAACATTGCAGTATAGATAATATGAGTTGAACACAGCTTTTGCAGTGTACATTTTTCCTACTCACGTGTCTACTCTTATGTAATGCACATGTATCGTAAACTACATGATGATTACGTAATTCCCACACATATGCTGATGAGGAAAGCTCTCTTATATTTGCATTAAGTATGCTGAAAGAATCTGTTAGTCAGAAATTGTTACTTCAAATGACACATTGACTCGCCGTAGCTGCCTGTGTTGCTAATTCCTGCAATAGTATTTGAAGCAGATTTGAATACCTCAGGCTTTTATGTACATGTGAAGGGCACACAAACGTTCTGCCTATTCCCCGACCTCCTAACTGTTGAGCTCAGACCTTTGACTTGACAGCAAACAGAGCAGAACTAATTTGTAACCATGGGGTACGTACGAATCCATTCTGCGGGCGGGGCGCTGTCTATCACGGTGATTTAAGCTAACCGCAAAGTGACCCTCCCAACTGGTCTGGGCGTTTTTGCTTACCCCCAAGAATTCGTTTCAAATCGTTTGGGAGTGGCACCCATCCGTCAAGTGAAGCACTTCTGAGTGCTGAGTCCAAGTCTGTAAGTGCAAACCCTGCAGTCTCTACTGTATTGGAGGAGGTTAGCCGTACAGCAGTGCACATTGAAACGCAATGTTAGGATAATTGCGCAGCAGAAATTGCTGGTGGATTGTTTTGTGCGTTCAGCACACAAAGCCTTCAGTGGCACAGAATAAACATCGCTGTTTGACAGGGTCAGACACAGGACCTGGGTAGGTTTTCAATGGTGCTATAGGGTTTGCACGCTTTGTGGCAGCAGGCCACGTCGCTCGGATTTCTCCTGACACCAAACATGTGGTCGCGGCACGAGCCAGTACTAAAGTGTACGTTGACAATTCCGTATAAACATACACAGCTGACTTATGGAGATCCTGGGTATGCTCCGCATCAGCCAGGGTCAGAAATCATCCGCAGGAATGAACGAGTCAGCACGTTCTGCTCTCAGCTGTTTATGTTTCTTCTCACGGCAGCGTCGTAAAACCCACATTTAACTACCCTCCAGATATCTGCTGTCCGTCCTGTCGTCACTTCAGTTTGTTAACGGGGTTTAGAGATGCTAAAATGCTGCATCGCCACCTACGCAATTACACCCAAGCTATTAACCCAATCTGAACCATCCTACAGCCGATATAACGGCAATGATATAAACACCCACGGTGTTCAATCGATCCCGCGATCGAGGTCTTTTCCCGAGCTGAGCGATAATTACATGCCTGACGGCATCCATGGTGGGGCTATTAATAGAAAACTGCCGCTCAGCTGTTGCCATGCACATCCAGGCCGTGTGAGTCCCATCAGGGGGTTTATGTGCTTCTAATATAATTTTATAATCCAACCATATAAAATGTGAAGACAGAGACTCGTGGCTTTAAACCTGACGGAAAGATAGAATAACCAACAGATGTGACACGTTCTGTGATTTTACCTCACCTGGCACAAAATTAGCAAGATATCAAATTTGATATGTAAAAACATTTAATAGATGGCAATGGTTGCATAGCGTATTTTTTTATAACAAATGGAAATGGCATTGAGAGTCAATTATGCAAGATAGTGATATAGACATCAACCATCATAGTAAACGTCCAAATAACAGAATAAACAATTGAAGACAATCCTTCGAAGATAATACCTTCCTGTATAAATATACCACACTTTGAATGTCACTGATGACGAAAGGTAGTGGATGCCTCCTGAAACATCTGACCGTTTCCAAAATCATATCCAGATGCTTGACTAATGTACTGTTTTCTGGCATTATCTTATTACCTGGATGTCTAACCTTCACCGATATACCACACTTTAGTGACACCTTATAATAACTGTAGACGTTATGTGTTCACACATGAGTTAACCATATCTCAATCCGATTTCACAGCTCCAGTGGCGCCGTTCAACGAGTCTGGCTGTTGCTTCTTCAAGTTCGGTCGCCACGTCTCCAGAACCAAAGTGAACAAAGCGTTCCTGTGGCTGTACGTGAGAGCTGCAGAAAACATGCAGTCCACATCCATCCCGCTTAAGGTACAACAGCCCTCACTATATCTATACTCTATGTACACAAATATAGATACTTGCACAGACTACCCATTGGTATAGCTTCATCATGGATCCTTTTGACTACAAATTATACTGTGGGGACCTCGTACCTCAGATCACATCAGGATCTCTCTGATCTCACATCTAATAAGAGGCTTTTCAGAAATCAAACCAATAACGTTATCTTTAAAGTCATGCTGAGTATGTGCGCACATCAGGCAGGCATTACGACGGTTGGCCAGTGTTTTGTCAGCACTTTGGATCAGTCACCTGTTCCAATATGGTCCAGGGCTTTAAAGCGGTACTGTCAGGGCTGTAAAACGGGATTGTTAAAATCAATTTTCGGGTCATTTTGTTAACATAGCTTCATAGTCCTCGGGCAAGTATTTGCAATAAACTTACTGTAATATGACCTCAATTGAATCATCCCTGTCCCATGGCATACATATATTTGCAAAATATGATGTCGCTGACAGAAAGCAGTTGCTAGTTTCGTATCGTAGGTTGGCTCTAGCTATCTATTAGAGGTACCAAAGAAATAAAGGGTCTCCTCACGTAGCTTCTTTTACGGCTATTTCAAACGCTTATTAAGTATGAAACGATTACTATTGCAGATCTACCGGATCGCCCCGGCGTCGTCGTTCTACACGGAGCCGTACAAGATTCTGATCTCCAGCCATAAGATCACGGACGTGAAGCCGAACGAAGGCCTGTGGGTGTCGTACCCCATCCGGGACCAGGTCCGCAGGTGGTTCCACAACCCGGCCGAGAACCTCGGCATCGTCATCGAGACTTCGGAGGCGGGGAAGGACCTCATCGTGCTGGACCCCAAGCCCGGGGAGGAACCGATGGTGAGTGTGATAGCTGAGCTTGGAAGTTAAAGAAAATAGCGTATGCAATAGGGCTTGGGCAACTGTTTCAAGTCATCAAATGCAATAGATAGTGTAAGAATGAACGTAAAACCTAAATAGATTTTGATGACACATATTTCAGTGATGCACCATATGCATGTTGCCACAGTAATAACGTTATTTGAGCTTTAGCTACCCATATTGCTAATCGTCTTCGAGTATGCCACGGGATCCATTAACAGGTCTGCGCATCTCTGTATCTCTTTTACTTCGACCCATCATCTATATCTGTATAGCCGGTATAACCGCCCTTCGGCGTAACACACCCAGCTTCTGTATCTGTATAGCCGGTATAACCGCCCTTCGGCGTAACACACAAGCTTCGCAGCGGCAGCTAGCTATATCACACCAAACGATTTGCTACACAAAGTCTTTACAGATTTAACTGCAGGAGTTGTTTAAAGCTTTTTAGTGACTCATAAAATTTTGTCTCTCCCCTCAGCAACCGTTCCTGGTGATGCACACGCACGACCCCGGCACGGTGCGCAGGAAGCGGATGGCGGGACTCAACTGCGAGCAGGACTCGAACGAAGAGCGGTGCTGCCGCTACCCTCTCCAGGTCGACTTCCGCGAGTTCGGCTGGGACTGGATCATCGCTCCCAACACCTACCAGGCCTACTACTGCGCCGGGGACTGCCCGCCCATCTTCCTGCAGAAGTACCCGCACACGCACCTGGTCCAGCAGGTCAACAAGGCCGGCTCGGTCGGGCCCTGCTGCACTCCCACCAAGATGTCCAACATCTCAATGCTGTACTTCGACGACGACGGAAACATTATTTATGCTAAACTTCCCGACATGAAAGTCGACAGATGCGGATGTTCCTAACTGGACAGTTGAAAAGGCAAAACAACAACAAAGGTGGCGAAGATTTTATGACCCCGCCAGAAAAGTCGTACTGAAGCTAGGAAAGGTAATGTACAAGTGTGGGTCCATTGTGGATCATTTGATGAGTTTTAACATTCAACCGTTGTGGCTAAGTACATCTGATCCGGTGGGTCAATCATCCTCTACCCCAGGCAATGATTGTAAGACTGATTATTAGAGCCGTATGCACAAAACCCGTGAAAGATCTATGAGTAAAAGTGTCCCTATAATGATATTATGAAAGTGAGCTCTCTTGCCTGGGGAAGACAGGTGATGCAACTATGGTGCAATCGTTAGAAAAAAAATTAAATGTTTTCAATGCAAACTGCAGTCGACTACCAGGATACATTGAGGTGCAAAGACTTGATTGTTGATCGTAACCATTTCCCTTCCTGCTAGAGTGAGAGTAAAAGGAACAGTGAACGTAGTTGTGATGCGGTAGGTGATTTTTATTAGCCGTCCCGTCCGAGGCATGAAATGCCGAGGCAGCATGTCAGCCGAATGATGTAGAATTCTGCATTCCTCACTATTGTGAAACATTCTAATGATAATTGGTTAAGAACCCAAACCTTTGTAGAGTGCTTATATTTTTATACATTATTGTATGTGAGGCAAACCTCTGTTGACAAAAATCATGTGGACGACCAGTGTTGCTGCAAAGCAGTGAGTGTGATCAGTTTTATAGTCTCTTGATTTACCTTCTTATTTTTGAGTTAGACTAGGTTTTGTAGTTCGTTAACACGTTCTGTATAACGCACTCCAAATGGAGATCACTGACTGTTTAGTTTACTACAGGAAGCTACAGGAATTATAGACTCAAATATGTAGGACACCGGCCCAAAACCTGGGCTGACGAGTAGTGTAAAACCTAAAGAACAAGTGTATGGAACGACTTGGCGAAAAGACATTAACTTGCTGTTGCTGCTTCAATATTTACAAATGTACTATCAATATTCAGAAGAACAGTATATGTAACATGTAACAATGATAATCATATCGATTTATTCAATAGTGATAATGTGAGAGAACAGTAACAACGTCGTTTGGCTCCTAGCCACTAATCTCTAAACCATGACTAAAGCCATATCGCGACTGTAGTTCTGTTTTGACTTGAGTGCACTAGGGACATTGCCTCCTTCTGTAACACTGAAACTGTAGAAAGAAGACATTACCAGATAGGCACTAGCCGCGTTTACTTGGTGGAAGGCGCACAAGTCAGACTCGATAATGATTGAAAAGAAGTAGACATGCCTGCCTCTTTGTAGAAAGAAGAAAAGATTATGATGTATTTGGGATATAGGACCGTATGTATGATTGTATAGAGAGATTCTTATATTCGTCCCGAAACTATGTGTAAACGAAGTGTGTTCTGCTGATGTGTTGGTTCTGGTTAAATGTATAAGGACAATGTGTTGTTTAGGTAACCTTTTGGCTGCCCACAAAAGGACGTATAGCCTTGTGCTACCTACAGGGGCAACGTAGCCGGAAAAAAATGACTGTGGTGCTTTTTCTAACCGACACGTTCCAGTCATGTTCAATATGCTGCATGCATTGTACACTAAGAGGGTGCTATGAGCGACGGACGGTCCAATATATTGACAGTACTGAATGCCCCCCAGTCTCGGGCTGTATAGATAGTAGAGTACTTACTAGAGAACTAAAGTGTGAAGGCATCAACCTTACATATATTCACGCAAACTATGCAGATAATCACTAGGATACCGTATCAGTCTCACTATACAGATTGTTGAACTGTGACTTATAATTGAACATCATCGCTCGCCCAGGGCATGAAGAGTCGTACTAAAGTGTGAGGTAAAGCACCGTCATCTACGATGAAATGTTATAATCATGTGTGTGAGTTTACAGTGATGATGACATCGTGTTGCAGTGTTACCAAACCTACGATTGAATTGCTGAATTGTATGAGGAATAAACAACACGCTGTTCCAATCAATAATATCTGCCCACGTCTCTTTTTTTTCGGTTAACTAACGTATAACGTCGATGAATGTTAGACATCCAGGTAATAAGAGAGCCAAAAAGCAGTTACTCAAGCAACTGGATATGATTTTGGAAACGGTCAGACGTTTCAGCTAGCATCCACTAGCTTTCGACAGTCACTGACTTTTCTCAATGACTGACGAAAGCTAGTGAATCCAATCTGACCGTTTTTACAATCATATCCAGTTGCTTGAGTAGAGTGACTGCTTTTTGGCGTAACGTATAACTTAACTTTGACATACGATCATATCGACGCATTCTACATTGCCGAAGTGACATACACCAACGCAACCACCAAGAATGCCTGTCAGCTTTGACCTTCGCGGTCATTTATCTTCCTACGGTTCTCCCGGTCCCGAGTTGTTGTTATCCTTGTTTGATTGTTATCAAAACAAACGAACTTGACCAGCTCCTGACCTGTGCCCGGCGCTGAGGCCCGGTTGAAGGCCAGCTATGAGACGTGATACGGGGGGCTTTTGACAAGCCCCCATGTAGGGAATAAAACCAACAGAGCAGGTGTTAGAGAAGCGAGCTGCGCGCATTGTAGCCCATTCAGATCTTTCAAAGGAGAGTCATAATAAATACAGACGCCGTACAGGCACGTGACGCTACCGAAGCATGATTTTGAAAGGGCGATATGACATCTGAGCCCAGGGCATCGACACCACACGGTGTGTTAAGGCAGGGAGTGTGTTTTGAAATGGTGATGTATTTATTGCACACCATTTAGAACATATTTAGCTACTGCAATCAAATATTTAAATCGGGCAAGTGTTACTGCTAGTGAAGAAGGAAGCAATCTTGTGTCAATACCTACTCACACCCCCTTTCCACTTAAGGCTGAGTGACCAAAGATTTGACAAATCGTTCACAAATTTGATGAAAAGAAAGCTATTTTAACGTTTTGTTCTCTTTCAAATCATACTTTTCCATCTTGCACCATATTCCAATTATAAAATTAAGCATCACACAAATCCATTATTGATCGCCGTCAAGGGCAGAGAGGGCCTTGGGGAATAGGTTGGTAACTGAGAGTGAAGATAGCAGCAACCGTATGCCCCTACCTACTTAGGGTACAGGTCGGTAGGTACTAGGTATGAATATGCATAGGATCGTTTACAAGTGAGGAAATATGAGGAAGTTATTAGGCATCAGATTCCATGTTAAAGAACACGAACAAGCGGACAGACCATGCCACTAGCATGGATGCCAGACCCAAAAGGCATAACACGCTAGGCCAAGAGTTGCCTTTTAGATCAGGGCCTAACTGAGAGGACTGTGGTATAATTTTCTTGGGGCATTTTGGCCCTTGAGCCGAGGATCTGGCCTGTGCAGGATCTGGTCTGTGTAGGCCCTGGAAACAGTCTGGCATCCAGGCTAGCATGTTGGCCCTGGAACCGAGGAACTGGCCTGAGTAGGCCCTGGGAACAGTCTGGCACCCAGACTAGCATGTTGGCCCTGGAACCGAGGAACTGGCCTGAGTAGGCCCTGGGAACAGTCTGGCACCCAGACTAGCATGTTGGCCCTGGGGCCGAGGAACTGGCCTGTTTAGGCCCTGGAAACAGTCTGGCACCCAGGCTAGCATGTTGGCCCTGGAGCTGACGAACTGGCCTGTGTAGGCCATGGAAGCAGTCTGGCATCCAGGCTAGCATGTTGACCCTTGTGCCGAAGAACTGGTCTGTGTAGGCCCTGGAAGCAGTCTACCATCCAGGCTAGCATGCTGGCCTTTAAGCTGAGGAACTGGCCTGTGTAGGCCCAGGAGAGAGTCTGGCATCCAGACTAGCATATTGGCCCTTGAGCCTAGGAACTGAAACAGCCGGGCACCCAGGCTAACGGAAGTGAACACCTAGGTGTGGCAGGATGCGCGGCGAGTGATGCCTGTCGTTCCCGAGCGACACACCTGAAGAAATACGGCAGGCGGGGCGGGGTGTCCGGTTTCTCCGGGCGCCAGTCCCGACGCCTGGCGCGCACCGAGGCAGCTGACCCGCGGGAACCTGTCATCGCGCTCTAATGCCTACACTGCACTTTATTGTACAGCCAGGCGCCCGGCGCTTATGCTTGCTTATGCTCACGTCAGCCGAGGGATTTGGGGTATCATAACCTGTAGGATTGCAACAAGCAGACCCGAGCTTTTGAGTCCTGCGGCCAAATGGCCCGAGAAGAGCGGATGAAAAGGTCGTGTGGACCTGCTCATTAGCGGGTAAACACGCCGTGTGAGTCCTGCACGTGCCACTGTTGTACAAACACGACGAGAAAAGTGGCCACGAGCGGGATGGATTGCAGCTGGATTATGTGGTTCAAATCAAATCAACTTTATTGCTCAACAACTGTAGCTGGTACAATGTATGGCAAAGAAACAACAATGGTACATACATAAACTAATACTAAGATATAATTCTAACGAGCTAGTCCATAATGATACTAAAGCTAATCTATTGTGTTTTCTTAGGAAAAAGTATTAATACATTCTGTAATTCAGGGGATATATCAGCTATTTACAATCTGGTGTCGCTTTTGTAGTGATTCAAATATGAATTTTCCAACGTTAAGGAAGAGGAATCTGTTACTCATGTTATCAGCTTGCCATATCATCGTTTATTCTTTGCCTCCATCCCCGCCCTTTTTGTGTTTAAGTACTTCATCAGGTAGAGTGCAAGGAAATATTACAAGGGTTTCCTTCACTAATCTATTATCAATATCAATGTCACGAAAGCGACACGAGCGAGATGGATAGCAGCTGGATTATGTGGTTCGGGAAGAGAAATCTGTTAGCCATCTTATCATGTTAATTAACCTACCAGCTTGTCATATCATCGTTTATTTCGTATTACAAGACTTTTCTGCACTAATCTAATATTAATATCAAGAAAGCCACACGAGCCCGATGGATTGCAGCTGAATTGGGTCCAGGAAGAGAAATCTGTTAGCCATGTTATCAGCTTGTCATATCATCGTTTATTCTTTGCCTCCAT